GACCGGTAAGTATGATTGCCCGTAAAATTTGCTCCACGATAGAAGGGAGTAGTAATACTGGCTACCTTGTCACACAGCCAATCAGAATCGCGTATTTCCAACACGTGATCGCTCTCGACCAATCAGAAGGCTGGATTTAATTACCCCAGAAAAGTTGCGTCATACCAAGGGGTACGTCATGTAAGACATCACGAAAAGTCCCCCAACATTCCCCCTTCATGTAATAGCACACCAAATGTCACTTTTTAACTCATTTTATTCTGACGTCATTCCTTATTTTACAAGCGGGACGTGTGTGACCTCCAAGTGACGTCACGCCCCTTATTTCGTTTTAAAAAGATAAAAAAATCCATTAAAAAATAGCCGGGAAAGCAGTGGCCCTGTGGCGATTGCCGGTACTGGCAAGAAGTTCTCGCTTTCGGCCAATGAGTACAGCCAGCCAGGTGGGACTCGAGGCTTACAGGTTCGAATCCTGTCGGAAACGTAACTCTTTTGGTTCTTAAATCAATAAAAATAGGAATGAAAGGTGCGATCGCCTGGCAACACATGTCTTCTTGTTTAGCGCTAAAAATCGGATATATAAACAAAACACACACGCACACACATACACAGAGTGGAGCTGAAAACTCTCTATTTCAATTTTGACTCACCATTACGAAAGCGTTTTCTCCGTTCTATCTCGAGGAAACGACTAACTATTGAAATCTCAGCACTTGAGGAGCTTATGGTCGCCGTTAGTCAGTTAATTATGCGGCGTAACAAGCCCAAACTGGAATATAAATTAGTTCATCTCTACAGCTAGACCCAAGGGAGCACCTTGACTTATTATTGTAAAAGCACAAACAATTGATAACTTAACAAGGATTAATTAAAACACGCGACAAATAAATTGACAAGACACGAGATACAGTTTTAAAAACTTTATTGAAAACCAGTGACAAAAAGAGTCGAATACACAGCGATTTTAAAGAGATGGAAATTAATCATCTTCTTCGTTCTCCTCTTTAGAAGGTGAATAAAAATTGGTTTCTAACGTCTTGGCGTTTTTGTGGAAAATTAATCCACAATCGTGACACCGAAGAAAGCCCTCTTTGATGTATTTTCTCTCCTCGGGAATCTGGTGATCGCATATAGGACAAATCTTGTAGTTATCGTGCCAAAAGCATTTAGGACATTTCATGATCAATGTGGAGTACACATTAGAGTTTTCGCAATGTTCACAAGGACTTTTAGAGTGAAAAGTGGTGGACGTTTCAGGGCTACTACTTTCTGTTTCCTCACTATCGTTTTCAGTGTCGTTGTCGCTCTCTTGAGTGCCTTCAGTTTCAACGCCATTCTCAGAAGCCACTTCCTCCTCCTCCTCCTCCTGATTTTCAATATCCGATGAACTCTCCTCATTATTGCTCTCATTATCAGAAGTATTTTCTACATTTCGGTAGCCTTTTTCCTTTTCTATTAAATCACTTAACAACTTTTTGTTCTTGATTAAACCTTTATCCATTCCTAACTCTGCAAGTCCATCTAGAAACGTATTCAGCGCACGAGGCTTGGTAACCTCACTGTTATGGGGGAGTAACACATACTCAACTAGCTCGGCGATGTTTGTGACGGGAATAGTGCGTTTATTTCGTAGTAATTGTCCGCTGGGAGTCCAGAAAAGAATATCTTTGGACGCGGCCATACTATGCAGCAAATCAGAAGCACGCTTTTCCGACACTGCTCGGGAAAGATGACTCAAAACATCTTTTATTCTTGGTTCTTCATCCTCGCTTTCATCACCAGAACTTTCGCTTTCTTCATGTTCACTCTCGTGTTCTTCTTCAACCAAATCTATCTTTCTCTTCATTTTGATGAGTACCCGTGACAGACCGTAGCTTCAATGAGTAACGTATAGTTTCGTTTCCTCTTTTATAGCATCAAAAATCCTAGACTTGTAACAGCAGGTACCAATAGGTCTTGAATAAAACCATCACCCTCTTGTACAAGGATTCGCTTCTTTGTTTTGTAAGGTACATTTGTTTCTGCTAGGTTTACTAGAGCATCCTTATGTGGCAACACGTTCCGCTTATTTTCTTCGGGGATAAGAATGTATTCCTTAAGTACATTGTATAAGACTTGGACTAATGCATGTAGTTGTTGTGGACTGGCTGTCCGTAAAAGAAACTGTCGCTGATGAGCTGGACAAACAGCTAAGAGTTGAAGAAAACCACGATTGTTCTTGACAACTTGAGACATTGGGACAAACTGAACTTATGATGCCGGTTGGCAGTCTTTTATAGAATCTCGTGGAGAAAAAAATGAAACGAGTGGGCGAAGGATAGAAAACAATAGAATGAGGAGGAGGAGGAGGAGGAGGAAAACCAATAGAAATGAGGAGGAGGAGGATGAAAAACAATAGAAATGTGGTGGTGGTAGTGGTAGTGGTGGTTTTAGGGAAGGAAAACAATAGAATTTTTGTGGCCTGAAAACCTATATAAATGCGCAACATTCTACCTCTTTCTCAGTCTACATTTTGCTCCTGAGGAGTTGACATGAGTTGGCTCTGTTCTGTCTGCGAAAAATCCTTTAGTAGAAAAGATAATATGCAAAGGCACGTGATGTCTAAACACCACAATGTTGGTCTCACACCATTTCAAACAGTTCCAATATTTTCACAGAAATGTCAGTGGTTTCGCTTCGAGCACCCTTTCACCTCCATGATTGCCAGAATGACCGGGTCCGGAAAAACGGCCTGGGTTCGATCGCTATTGCAACAAGCTTCAGAGACCATTTACCCTCCCCTGGAGAGGATCGTTTGGTTGCCATTCACAATGGCAGCCCGCGTATACAGAAATGCTTGTCGCCATGCCACACATTGAATTCGTCCAGGGAATTCCCACGGCTTTGGAGCAGGATTCCTATTTTGATGTGAACAAACGGAATTTGATCGTGTTTGATGATCAAATGATTGACGCCAGTAAAGACAAGCGAATTGTGAACCTCTTTACTCGTGGTTCTCATCATCGCAATCTAAGCGTGATTTATATCGTGCAGAATCTATTTCACCAGGGGAAAGGTAGTCGCAGCATAAGTCTAAACAGCCATTATTTGGTGTTATTCAAGAACCCACGAGACAAATTGCAAATCTTGACTCTTGCCAAGCAAATGTATCCCGGGCAAACTGATTTCTTTTTAAATCAGTACGAGGAGGCTGTAAAAAGACCTTTTGGTTATCTGCTGATTGATCTGAAAACTACTACCCAAGATAATTGTCGACTGCGAACATACGTCCTGCCCCGTGAAGAAGGTTTTAACCAAGCAGGGTTTCAAGAAATTTTCAATTCCTCAAGAGCTTTTAAAATATCTAAAGCAGCAAAATCTTTCACCTGTCCCACTTCTTCCAGCTATGCAAGAAATACAGGGCAACATGGATGACTTGCTTTCTCGAAACGATCTTCGGGACGATGAAAAAGCTAAGAGATACTCTCAGTTGCAAAACAGATACCTGGCTTTTAAAGAACAGTTAAATACAAGAACCCGACCGGAAGAAAGCACTGTTCCAGACTTGACATCAAGCACACAAGATTCTTCGACAGCAACGGCAGCATTCTCCACTCCCATTAACCCCTTCAACGTAACACCTAAATTAACACAAGCGGCTATCTTACGAAAACCTGAAAACGAAAGCTCCACCCCACCTGCTTTCCTGACCCCTCCTCCCACAGTAGAAACCCCATCACAAGGCCCGAAGCGCAAAAGGCGTCGGATTCAATTTGTAAATTATTTGGATGATCATAATGCTCATGGCAAACAGAGGAAACGAACTCGGCATAAGAAATTTCGAGTAAGACCTTACAAGTACTCCATGGGCGAAGAAGACGATTAATTTCCATCTCTTTCAAATCTCTGTGTATTCGACTCTTTTTGTCACTGGTTTTCAATAAAGTTTTTAAAACTGTATCTCGTGTCTTGTCAATTTATTTGTCGCGTGTTTTAATTAATCCTTGTTAAGTTATCAATTGTTTGTGCTTTTACAATAATAAGTCAAGGTGCTCCCTTGGGTCTAGCTGTAGAGATGAACTAATTTATATTCCAGTTTGGGCTTGTTACGCCGCATAATTAACTGACTAACGGCGACCATAAGCTCCTCAAGTGCTGAGATTTCAATAGTTAGTCGTTTCCTCGAGATAGAACGGAGAAAACGCTTTCGTAATGGTGAGTCAAAATTGAAATAGAGAGTTTTCAGCTCCACTCTGTGTATGTGTGTGCGTGTGTGTTTTGTTTATATATCCGATTTTTAGCGCTAAACAAGAAGACATGTGTTGCCAGGCGATCGCACCTTTCATTCCTATTTTTATTGATTTAAGAACCAAAAGAGTTACGTTTCCGACAGGATTCGAACCTGTAAGCCTCGAGTCCCACCTGGCTGGCTGTACTCATTGGCCGAAAGCGAGAACTTCTTGCCAGTACCGGCAATCGCCACAGGGCCACTGCTTTCCCGGCTATTTTTTAATGGATTTTTTTATCTTTTTAAAACGAAATAAGGGGCGTGACGTCACTTGGAGGTCACACACGTCCCGCTTGTAAAATAAGGAATGACGTCAGAATAAAATGAGTTAAAAAGTGACATTTGGTGTGCTATTACATGAAGGGGGAATGTTGGGGGACTTTTCGTGATGTCTTACATGACGTACCCCTTGGTATGACGCAACTTTTCTGGGGTAATTAAATCCAGCCTTCTGATTGGTCGAGAGCGATCACGTGTTGGAAATACGCGATTCTGATTGGCTGTGTGACAAGGTAGCCAGTATTACTACTGAAGGGAATCTTTAAAATTCATTACTTCACTGGACATTTCATTCCAAAAAAGTACTTAAGTCTAGTTTTCTTTGTCAATAGAAACCTTAAAATCTCCAAATCCAAGAAATCGGAACAGTATTCCCGTGATAAAATCGAAATTCTTATCTGTCTCCTCGATGAACACTTTGCTCGCCATTTTGAAAGTCACTGACGCGAGACGTGACGTCATACTGGCAGGCGGACTGTACCACAGATTTCCTTAGAGACATCTTCCCCCTTTCCCCTGGAGACGGAAAACAAAAGGATCGCCTCGATATATTAGAGTAATCAAGGCAAAGTCCTAAATTCCAATTCCATCAGAACACGTACCCAAACGTTTACAAAAGTGTTCTAGAGAGCTCCTATGTAATTTCTCGTCCTGCTTCGCCACTCGCCATCTCCTCTCTCTAACAAAACCACCAGCTACACAGGCTACTACGATGTGTGGATATGTTAACATCTTTAAAAAGGAGGTTTTAATTTTATGACTTAGCCGACCAGGAAACTATTGTGATGCCCTTGGACTGACTTCAGTATTCCTTTCCTTGGCATGAACTGCAGAGAGCACTCCATCTCCGAATTGAAATGATTATCTAGTGCTAAAAGAAACGCCTGTTTAAGGCTGCGTTCACAAAGCACTGGACATGCGTTTAGATGTTCAGTTCGGCACCCCGTTCCACCTTAACTATTCGAATATTTCAACGCCAAGCGGTTCAAGAATATGAACGCCAAAATCGAGATCAAATTTTTGGCCCATGTGATTAAAAACTTGACTAGCGCGGTGTGAACACCACAATTATTGTCTAAAATTCTCTTGTGCAGCAAATTTGATGGGTGCGGTGTGAACACAACTACCATCTAAAAATCTAAATGTTGAACGGCAAAGGTGTGGTTTGCGTGGTAACTCAGCTAGGGGACGCCATTTTGGATTTGCTAAAGTAGCACTCTGCACGTTGACAAATAGTTAAACAAAAGTTCAAATTCAACCTGGTTCGTCAGTTCCGCGTGAAGGAAGTGAAAATATTGAAGCGTCCGCTCAAATTTTTCAACCGGTCAAAAATTCGTTAGGTTGCCAGAAAAACATGGGGTCCACGCGACTAACAGTAAGAGAGACTTCCGTTCGCTAGAGCCAGTTGGTAGTTCTTTTTGAAGCAATGTTGTGAAATAAATTTTCAGTCCTCTTTTTAAGTATTCTATTGATTCAGAGGTGAAAATGCTGTATGGTGATTGCTCTTACCAGCTGAGGGAACATTCAGGCGGGACTTGCAAAGAGGAAGCAAAAATAAATTTCTCCCTGGAAGGTAGTGGTGCGAACGATAGTTGCTTTAACGTTTTCGTTGCGATTATCAAATTGAATGCCCAAACGCTTAATGTTATGACGTAGAGCTCATAACCCACTATGTTAATAATAAAACAACATGACTTCAACAGAAGAAAGCAGATTTAATACGTACTGTTTTTTTCTGTAAAAACACGGTCACTGAATAAAATTTATCAGCTGCTTTTCTCTAAAACCTTTACTATAACCCGCTAGTTTTCAGTACAATTCAAACCCGAACAAATTAAAAAGAGCCATAACGTATTTTATCCTTTACCACTCGCTTAACGGCTTTGATATATTTATCTTCATGTTTTCTTTCTTTTTTTTTTTCACTCAGTCTTTTGCTCCATTGATAGACTGCCAGAAAGTTTTTAAAAACTTTGTCTGATTCATATCAACTATCTACTGTTTCTTTTATGGCCAGGACACTAAAAGAAAAACAAAGAACTGAAAACCTACTCTTAGTTTAACAAATGGAAATTTCTCTCTGTTTACTTTAAAATAAAATAAAAACATTATCATTATATTCCAAACTATTCAAACATCAAAGTTGAAATCTAGCAGGTCATTTCCTGGTCCTTTGTCACAGCTATGTTTCAAAATATCTTCCATGCTTGCTTCTTTGATGCCAAACGGTAAATCTTTCCACTTTTTAAACATCTTTCGTGGTTGATCCTCTCCTGGAAACTCCAGAACAAAACTGCGAATCTTGATACACAGCCACTCCACCCCGCTGATAAGAGCTGTAACTCCCCAGTCCTCACCACAATTTTTGCAGAAAATCTTCTTGTTCATTTCTATGTCATCAATTTTCCTTGGCTTGTTAAGATGTTTGATATCCACCTTTTAAATGGAAGAAAAGGAGTAGAAGCTGTTAATTTCGCAGTTCTGTTTAACGTTAATGCGCTTGTTTAATAATAAAGCTTAGTATAATTACGTTGATGATTATCGAAAATTGAGCGCAATGATTGTTTAGGAGCTTCGCTTCATCCCGCTATAATCACCTCGCGGTGATTATAACATTGAAGGCTAGCAGTTTTCAAAGTGGCAGCCAGATTTGTTGATGTCTCGGAGTCGGAAATTGATCAATGCGAACTGAAAATGCTGTTACTCAAAAACAAAAGATGCTACAAAATTTGGAATCAAGCTATTCACAGGTAGGTTGATAAAATTTCTCTTTTGCAAGTAACACAATTTACTGAAAAGTGGTATGCTTGTTTACATTTTTTCTTCTTCAAAGAATCGGCACCTTTTAGTAACTTTTGCGAAATATTTTGTTCCACAGATTGGTTTCAACAGCGGCAAGAGTTCACAAATGAAATAGAAAACATGGAAGTCGATGAATTAAATAAAATGTCTGGCAAAAATTTATGTTTCCGTGAGGAAAACTGACGGCAGCTACTATAAGAAAACCAGAGCTTGATGTTGATCAGAGGCGCTCTCGACCGACTTCTTAAAGCCTCAAAATCTTTCAGAGAATATGTCTCTTTTTTCATTTTCTGGAATAATCATTAATAGAATTATACTGAAACAATTAGTCGCCTCAGGCGACGTGAAAATTCGCCGTTAAAGTCGCCTTCGGCGACTAATTGTTAAATAATATGCATGCTCTATGGATTATATAGTTAAACTTACCGGGTTAATTACAAACGTTACATTTTGTTGACTTTTTTAGGAAGTATATTCCAGTTAAAATAATCTTAATGAATAACGCTTTTTGTTTCTCTTTTAGTCTTTGGAAGAAATATTTAAATGTAATATTCAGACGTTGCCAGAACCCAGGACAAGAATTCGCTCTGCATGAAAGACTAATTAGGAATAGCAACTAATAAAATAATTGAAATAAACACAACTAATACAATAACATGCTATTGTTGTTTTGCTTCTGTTTACCACGAGAACTTGAAATGAACGTGGGACCAGAGAAGCTTGCGATCCTCATATCGCCCATATCCAGGGCGTATAAACGCTCGCTTAAGATGACTAGATGGTATCTTAATCCAAGCACAGCGTAAGAGAGCCCTGGTTTTGACGTTCGATTGATCTCGCCCATTCTCCTCAACAAACCTTTCTTACTACTAATATAAAATTAATAGAGACCGTAAAGAATTATCGCGAACATCGAATATCAATTCTAAGAATGTACACTATATTGATATCCTGGAAAAAGAAACTTAAGCGTCAGAGAGACTAACTCGCAGCGTATTTTGAAAAATTTCGTCTTATCAGTTAATTTTTTGGGTATTATGCTACCTTTTGAGACTTTTTAAGACCGGCAAAGAATAAATCATTTTCTTGCAATTTTCAGCTCATTACTGCATTTCCAATTGAAGTACCTTTTCATTCCGGACATTAATGTCGATAATCACGTGGTGACTGCCTTGGATGCGGCGGACATCGTGTGCTTGGCAAACAAATACTTGGCACTTCCGGCATCGAAAGCTGACGTCATGAGGTAAAGGCTCTGATGTTCTGAGTGCACAAATGTTCTTCTTAAGGCAGCGGTCTTGCAAAATCTTTTTTTGTACATCTTTCACCTGAAAGAATATAATGTTACTGACGCTAATGAAAATTAAATACCAATTAAGTCTAAGAAAAGACTTTGTATGCTTCCCGATGGCAGCCAATGGTTTGGCATGAATAGAACTCTGTACACTCTCTTTAAGAATTAGCTAGTTTAACTTGTGAATATGCCAGCATCGTGAATAAGCCGAGGTTGCATACAACTGCTTTAAATGAAACAATATGTCGGAATTCAAAAAGCTCGTTTGCTGGGCAGAATAAAGACCGGGTAGAACATGACGCAGTGGGATTCCAGTAACACTTCTACCCGCAAGGATAAAGCCAGTGATGATACATATGATGATGATAATGATGCTGAGAATGATCATTCCCCAAAGTTTTAGTTCCCTTTCCACTTTCGGTCCTCAAAGCAAAAGAAGCCCATGAAAAAGCAAACAAGCTGTTCACGTTAAACACGCTATTTATTTGGTGTAACAAGACAAATTAATTCCAAATACAATCACGACCAATTTCTTTCATTTTTCTAATGATTTTGGTACAAAAGTAGCCCAACCACTACGACTACTACTACTACTATTTATTAACATTTTATATTAGTCTTGTTTCTTGTTAATCAAATTAAGACCATACCCGTAGTTTACGCGTATCTCCCTGTACACTTTAACATCAACGAGCAATGTTAAGATCCATTAGACTATACCCGTAGTTTACGCTTATCTCACTGTACACTTTAACATCGAAAAGCAATGGCAAGATCCATCTTATTAGTATTCAGACCATACCCATAGTTAACGCTTATCTTGCTTTACATTTTAACATCACTAAAGCAATGTCAAGATCCTAGACATTAGTATTCAGACCATACCCGTGCAGTTCACGCTTAAATCGCTGTACACTTTTTAACATTTGCTACTGATTTCAAGATCCTTGTTATTGATACACACAAAAGCAAGAATAAATATAACGAGCACCGTAAAGTTTAATTTCACAGGTAGTTCGTTAATTAATGTTTTTTTGGGTGTGAAAGGAATACCGCGGTTTTAGCATGTAAGGCGTCTTTGGACTAAATAATTAAGTCAGATGATGCTCGCCATTCAGTCAACTAAGCCAATGGCACATGGTCCATACTTGTTGTATTCCCTTAAGTATACTGGTATATAAAAGGGCTACGTTGTAAGAGGAATCGTCCTACATTAGCTTCAGTTTTGTTGGATTGATCATGAAGCGATTCAATTTGAGCACTGTTTGGCTAGTACCAACGGTGTTTGTTCTTTACGTGTTTTCTGCATCCACTCTGTGTGGTGATCCATCGTGATTACAGGTATGCACTGGGCAGTGAAAAAGACCATCACAATCGTCCTCTTCGAAGTGGTCTCTTTGATTTAGGCGATGCATTGACCAATCGACCTCTTAGTCTTGTTTACTCATCTTAAACATACACTTTAAATCTTTCTCAAAAGACAAACGCACTGCTACACAAACTACACAAGCCTGTAACATGTAACGGGCCAATTTCATATCAAAATTGTTCTTTGAAAGATATGTTTTGATAAATTTATGTCGAAGAGATGATGAAACAGTAGTGCACGGAAAATAGGTGCTATTGCTCCCTTTTCCTGGAACGCTTGTTCCTCTATCAACAAATTCGGAATTCGTCCATTTATATTCGGAACATAACACCCATCTTGAGAAGGAAGGAACAACTTAATTAAGGACAATTTTGTTCCTGTGTGTCATGGATAGGACCAATCTAAACTGAATGGGAACAAGGCGTTCCGAACAGCGTTGGATATGCCAGTAAATATGAACAAGGCGTTCCTACTGTGTCAAGCTAGCAATTAGATTAGGAACATTTGTTTTCCAAACACTTCCAAAGGAACAGGAAAAACATCAGAACTTTATGAAAGTAGACTATTAGTTCCTAAAACGGATAAAAGAGGAATCAGTTGTTCCTTTCGACTAAATAGGAAAGGAACTTTGTGTTCCAATTTACCGCTAACGGAACGGTTTGTTCCCAATTTGGTGACCTTTGTTCTTATTATGAAAATAAAGTTTTTTTGTTGTCATTCCTAGATTGACATGTTCCTAAAGCAATTTAAAGGAACGAAAAACAAAAACGCGCTTTGTTAAAAAAAAAAAAAACAAAAAAACAAATTGCCCATGTTGCGTCACTTTAAATCAAAATTTGAAAGTTTCCTCATGTAAAAATGGTTCAACAATACTAACGACAAAAACGCTAATAAAAACTTGGGCGTTTTAATATTGCTATCATTACTTTTGGGGAATGTATAAGATGATGATGATGATAATAAAGATGATAGTAATGATGATGATGATGATGATGATGATGATCATCATCATCGTCATCATCATCATGAAATTATTAGGCCGACCATGATGACAACTGGACTCACCTTTTTCTTAAACTCTTCTGGATCCATTTCCTGAACTTTATTAAGAGCTACAGTCATGAGCCTTTCCCTCAATGCACTTATGCCTTGTCTCTTCCGGGCTCCTGAATGACCTACCAACACGCTGTACTTTCCACATTCTGCCCTGGTAGTCAAAAAAGAACAACAACAACTCAATAGCTGCAACATATGCCATCGTGAAGATGGCAGCTTCACTCCATGAAAGGTTTTCACTTACCTCACACGGCCACGTGATTGAACTAACGAGATCTCGTTGCCCATCATGTCATAACGAATGACATAGTTACAGTCGCTGATGTCTAAGCCTTCCTCTGCTACGCTGGTCGCCAGTAAAAGATTCTTTTCTCCTGTTTTGAACATTTTAATAACCCTTTCCTGCTCAATCTGGGTCATTCCGACTGAAATAAAATAGTTAACACAACGAGTCATTCTACCTTGTTCCTTAAACTGAACTTTTAAATCTAAGAGGAAGCGATGCATTTAAGGTGATGACTTTAAGTACTAATTATAGAGTGTTACACGAGACGATTCGGAAGGACAATTTTTAGCGAAACACCGCGTTGCAACATTGTTTCGAATAGTCACAACTGAAACTGCAAAAGCGTAAAGTCTCTTGGCCTTAATGACAACGCCACGAACCAAATAAGAATGAAGATTTATTGAGTGCACATACAAACGGCGTGGGTTGAAACTAAAACGGTAAAAGAGTAAAAAAGTTACAAGTTGCGACTAAAGTAAATAAGAGTAAAGAAATGACAAAACTGCAAAACGAGGACTGTGAAATACACTTACATTGTTTCGGCCAGAGAAAACTGCTGAAGCGGACTGCGAATAACGCGAAGCTACGGACTAGCAAGAAACTAAAACAGAACTGCGCTAAGCGCGAACCAAAAATGAACTGCCCAAACTGTACTGCAAAATTACGATATATGAAAAATACGCTAGAACATGCGGAAAACAAAACTATAGAAACTTAGAAAGGCGCTAATGAAGATGAAACAGCAAAGAAACGCTAACGAGGGCGCGAAAACTGACAAAAAGGAATAAACACCTAAATTAACGCAAAAAAAAGACTAAACAAAAGGACGAAAAGAAGTATAAACTAATTTGCGTACGCAAAGGAAAAACAAATTACGCAAAAACGAAAAATAGAAAAAATGTTACACTTGGATCTTACAACAACGTTGTTCCAACATTGCAACGCTGTTTTGCGCTAAACGTGGCCACTGCGAATCGTTCCGTGTAACATCACCTTAAGAACGACGGCCCGGGAGGGTACTCCTGGCAATTCTTGGTGGCGGTGTGCCGCCCAGTTCTCAAAATCCGGACCCTATTTCAGACCAAAAAAGTGTAATTTTCGATAACCGTTTTCAGGCCTAGCCTTTCGGCAGAAATTATGTTATCATTACTTAGATTTGAGCGCAAAGAAAAAAATTCTTCAAATCCATTTCGAATTCGCATATTTCTCTTTCTTTCTTACTCATTTGGAATTAAAACAATAAATACGTTCATACACTCCTGTAGTTCCCTCAAAAACCATACCCGACTCCAGACCAAAATTGGCAAAGTGTAGACCCGTTTTCAGACCAAAACAGCGCAAAAACCCTACCCGATGGGACGGCACATACTTATATAGCTTATATACGACAGCATCTGCCCTACCAATTTTCGAACCTCAAGTAGAAACATTTAATGTTCGAAAACAATTCATCTGGGATGAAGTTTCAAAGGGAAAGTTTATAGGCCTTCTAAAACAAGATGATTTCCTCTTACGTCTATGTCAGTTTGAAACAACCACCTTTCCTACTGATAGTGAAGGTGTAAATTTAGCAACAGAACAATTCACAGATGTAATAAGTTATATTTGTACCCAGTCCCTTAGACTAGCCAGGAAAGAAAAGAAAACAAAAGTTTGTAAAAAGTGGATTGATTCGGACTGTACATCTCTAAGAAAACCGCTAAATTTACTTTCTCATAAAAAGCATAGAAATCCATTTATTGATTCAAACCTCAGACATGATTACCACTCAGCAAAGAAAAATTTTAAGAAAATGATTAAGCATAAAAAATTGAAACTCTTTAACTCTCAAATTGACGACCTTACTCAAAATTAAGACAACCAAAAATTCTGGACTTATCTCAAAAAATATTTAAAAGTAAATCAAACTCTCCTACCCCAAATAATCAAGATATTCCAGTTGACAATCTTTTAAAGCATTTTAAACAATTACACTCACACTCAAACTCCTCTTTCCTTCCGCCAGACCAAATCTCTTTCAAGGAAAATCTTTCTACTTTAGGACAAACAAAAGACATCCACAACGTTCTAGATAATCCTATTTCAATTTCTGAAATAGAAAACATAGCGAAAACACTGAAACCTAAAAAGGCCCCTGGACCTGACAAAATCCGCAATGAAATGTTAAAAACTGGTGTAAGATTTTTGAACGTTGTCCTTTTCAAGTTATTCAACCTAATACTTCAAAGTGGCTCCTTCCCTAGCTCTTGGTGTAACGGAATAACCACAGTTTTTTAATCTGGCAACAAACGATACCCAGCAAACTGCAGGGCCATATGCATAAAAAGTTGCTTAAGACAAGACTAAAAAGTCATGTTGTTTACGAAAACATTTTACATCAAGTTCAAATTGGCTTTTTACCAGGTCATCGTACATATTATCACAATTTCAGTTGACGAACCCTTGTCTACAAATACGTGAAACAGGTGCCGAAAGGTAACTTTTACACCTGCTTCATTGATTTCAAGAAAGCTTTTGATTCAGATTGGCATGATGGCCTCTTTTACAAACTCCTTCAAAACAATATGGGGGGCAAATTTTATGACTTGATTAAAAATCTTTATTCTAAAACTAAATGCTCAATAAAAGTTTCTGATCAAAGAACATAATTCTTTGATTATTGCAAAGGTGTCAGGCTAGGCTGTCTCCATTCTCCCATGCTATTTAATTTATACCTTTGGTTAATGAAATCCCCTTTCTGCTTGACCAAGGAGACACAGATCCCATAGTTCTATCAAATGGATCCAATCTAAGCTGTCTTCTACTATATGCAGATAATTTAGTCTTGATCTCTCAGTCGGCTGAAGAACTAGAAAATGCTCTCTCAATCCTTTCAGAGTATTGTGAACATTGGCTTTTATCGGTGAGTCCAAAGAAAACTAAAATTATCATTTTCGAGAAGACATTTAGGAAGTCGACTCTCAATAAACATTGTTTTCATATCAATAGGCACAACATAGAAATTGTCAACAATTACACTTATCTTCGAATCAATTTTTTGTCCAATGTAAATTTCAAAGTTAGTAAATCAGATTTAAAACATAAGGTAACTTAAAGGCGATCCTTCTTTGCCACTCGTCGTTATCTATAGACTTCTCAAAAATGCCACTCGATATCACAAATAAACTTTTCAATTCACTTTTTCTACCCATTCTCCTCTAGGGATCAGAGGTATGGGGAATTTATGACAAAGATGATTTCACCAACTGGGAAAAAGATATCATTGAAAAAACGCATATCTTCCTTAGTTTATAAACGGTCATTAGGAGGAAACAAACAATGATCAACAATGCCCAAACGTTGCTGCCAGAAATGAACTCGGAAAGTTATCTTTGAGGTTATCCATAGATATTAATATTTTAAAATATTGGATCCATTTACAAAACCTGCCAGACGATAATATCGCAAAACACTGTTTACAGCTTTCAAGGATTTGGACGAGAAAAACCAACCAGACATATCACAAAAGATTAAAACAGTATGTGATGAATATAGTTCACGCTCCATATTTTAAATGAAAACAACGGTAAAACCCTCATCTCCAGTGTCGCTCAAAATCTGTACAAAGCTTTAATCAACCACCAACTCTTCAATCTTGCCTCGAACAGGAAACTAAATTTTTACAATACTTAAGTTTTAAAACAGATACCAACAGAACCGAATTTCTAGATGCAATAAAAAATCATCGACTTCGCATCGAAACAGGGAGATATACTGTACCCAAGACTCTCAAACACGTAAGAATCTGTTCCTTATGTCAAGCTAATGAACTTGAAAGTGAATGTCATGTCATCTTCTTTTTTTTTTTGCACTCTGTATAATACGCTTCGCAACAAATTTTTTTGATGAAATCACCAAAAAATATAACTTTTTAACGATTTCGATGTAAAATCAAAACTTTTGTTCCTATTTAACAATATTGATCCATTTATTTGTAAATCAGTCGCTACTCGTTATTTTTGAGATTATGAATTGTAGACACTATCACGTAATTTCAAAAGTGACTTAACCAATTAATTAATTATTTACTTTTGTAGAGAATAGGTAATGTCATGTATGAAAATGGAAATACCTTTTAAAGTAAATTGTTGTTTTTGAATTGCCTGCGTTCAGACGTCTCCTAATTCCTTTGTTGCACAAAGGAAATAGGAGACGTCTGCACGCAGGCAAACGTTTGAAGAAACGTGGCTTCCAAAGTGGCAGTCACGGGATCAGGATAGTAATGCAACGCAATTCTTGGAAGGGTAACATTTCGACGTCGACAGTGTTTTGAAGAAGAATAAAAAATCAAACCCACTATTGTTCTAATACTCACTTTTTCTCGAAAAATTGGGACTTTGACAATGGTAATTCGCTAATTGAACGATGACGGAACAGGAACATATTTCGCCTTATTACATCACGAAACAAGTAACCTTAGAGCTGTTAAATAAGTTATTTTGGTTACGCTTCACTATATTTACCGGACTTCGATGCTTTCGTATGGAGGCTGCCTTCAGCAACCCAAGCAAGTTCTTTGGTATGTTTTAGATAAATGTCTAAATATGTGATTTTCCCATCTCTTTTCGTAATTTATAGAGAGCTTTGAGTGCAATTTTCTTCAACTCTTGCCTAGCGACATTAAAGTTTCCATAAGGACTCATTATTAGTCCAATATATTGGTAGGCCGGATTTAACGTTTTCCAGTTTATCAACGCCGTATCTGAACGTTTAGTAGTTTAAAGACTTAACACAGTTGTTAAAAATCATAATTTTTGTCTTGTCGAAATTTACACTTAAATCGGCGTTTCACAGAACGATTCCAGCTGATTAAGGATTATTTAAAGGCTTTTTGCTGATCTAGAGAAGATCACTAGATCTTCTGCACATAAGAGACAATTTATAGATTTATCCTTGAGCATAATGTTGGAATGTTGGTGGATAACTACTTAGATGGGGGGGAAGTAGGTGATAACATGCAACCTTGCTTTACCCCTGGCATGTCAAGTAAAGGATTGGGTTAATTGGTTATCAATATTAACTGCCGATTTATCATTTGAGTACATGGATATTAAACGTCTAAGAAACGTCCTTGGACTCCTTCTTTTCTCAGTTTGTCGAATAGTTTCTGTCGGGGTATACAGTCGAAGGCTTTTCTAAAATCGACGAAGCCTGAAAAAGTAAATTTCGGTGCTTCTGTGGTTTAGTAAGTTTTTACGTGCTTGTCAATAAGCACTTTTAATGGGAAGATGCTAACACCTGTGCCTTGCATTTTTCCGAAGCTACCTTGTTCAGCTTTCAAATTTCCTTTTTGAACCATGTGGTCGAAAAGTCGATTGTTGAGGATTGATGTAAAGAGCTTGCCTAGCGCAGAGAGCAAAGTGAGATCTCGGTAATTTTCGACTTTGGATCGATTGGCCCTCTTGTGAATAGGTACAATGAGGCCAAGACTCCAAAGAGCAGTGTATTTGCCAGTATCTAAGATTTGATTAAATTATTTTACTAAATGCCCTTTAAAGGCGGCCTTTTCGTTTTTTATTGACTTCATTTAATATATTATCGATACCTGGAGAGCAGTTTGCCTTCAATTTGTTAATTGGAGCTTTGAACTCTTCATCAGTTATTGGATAATCAAGTGGGCCTTCCACCCTTTCGTTACTGTAGGTTTCCATATTCGTCTTCGGATCTAGCATATTATCGAGAGGGGTCGCATTCTGCTGCTTAATTAGTATTTATAAAACTGTTCCGTACTCACTACTTCAGCTCCATGTGTTTTTGTTTTTCGTAAGCTAAAGATTTTTCCTATTTGTCGCCAGGTCTCTTTGGAGTTCTGCATATCGATATTGGACACTCCTCTGCTGATATACGCCCGTTTCTTCCGTCTACAAGTTTGTTTGAACCTCTTCTTTTTCTTCTCTCGCAGTAGTTGTCTCAGTTCTGAATTATTACTGTTATGAGAAATTTTCAACCCTAGGGATCTCAATTTCATTTCTTTTCCTGTTTCGTATTCCTGATCCTTCTTGCTTTGTGATTTGCATTTAATTTTGCTGTCTCTCGCCTTCAATCCGGGTTCTTTGCATGCTTCCAACAAAGTTTCACTTAGTAATTCAGACGCAGTATCGCGATGCTATCATGTTTTACAGCTGCTTCTAACCCGGATTGAACTATTTGTGATTTGAGACCATATTCCAGGAGAAAAACCTATTATTTTTAGTCAAGGTGAAGTCGGCTGATGTTTCAAAAGAATCTCGGTTAACAAAGTTAGCTTTTATCGCGAATGATAGGTGACAGTGATTCGATAAATGTGGCATTAATGGGTTAACAATAAGATATCGCACATTCCTTAGAATACTTTTTGATCCTATGACGTAATCAACAACACTGCTACCGTTATAATAAAAGCAGGTCTTTTTACCTTCCTGGTCACCAACAATCCCTCCATTAAGAATTCGTAAATTTAACGCTGTGCATGTTTCTAACAAATTTTAACCCCTAGAGTTCACGCTGCCTGAATCTTGTGACCGTCTTAAGCATTGTTCGTCATTCTCATAGTCCTCAGGGACATTCAGGAAAGCGTTGTCATCATCCAAGACTGTTTCCTGAATGTTACCCGTTCGTGCATTATAATCATCCTTTACAATTATGTCACCCTTTTGTGAACATTTGTTGAGTAACCCCCCCTCCCTCCAGTGCTCGACATTTTCTGACCGTCGCCCTTAAGTTGCTAGCGCTTCAAACATTTTGTGCTAAGCTCGTCTTCACGAGAGCCAAATCATAACCTTGTCGGTAAAACTGGACAAATTATCAATTTTAAAATCGCTCAAAGCCGACGTAGCACCAGTAGTAGAATTAACCGACTCAATTAATGATCAAAATAACCGAATTGATGTCGTTTACTTACTTTTCCCATCTCCACTGCCGACTAGTAGCACTGGTCTCAGCACTGCCTTAAGTTCTTCAGTCTCTTTGATCCAGTCCAGCAGTGCTTCTGTTGACTCACGAGTTCTAGTGAACAAAATTCCTTTTGGACCTTCCCACTCTGGGTGATGGCGAGCTTTCGTCTTTTTAGCCTTATCCTCTTCATTCGCCGTGTCTGACATGGAGCTCTCGGCCATATCATCGTCAAGATCGCCCATTGCTTCACTATCACTTTCCTCATGTGAATGTACCGTTTTGTCGCAGGACGAAGAACTCCCAGCAGAATCCTGTTCGTGAACGCAAAGAATCTCACTGACACTTTCCCCAACTTTGTCGTCTTGGTAAACTTTGTCTGGTGAGGACCTCTCCGTAATTTCGTCTTTTTCTTTACCGCTGCATTCTCTCATTTCATCACCGTTCACGGCGTTTTCCTCATGGCCATGCCATTTACCTTTCTTTTCACCTTGCCTGTAAGCTGTTTCTGTGGCGTTTTCATCAGCTAGTTTGGACAATTCCACGTCTCCATTTATCGCATCCATCTTGTTGCTTTCTCTTTCCAGGCAATTCTCATTTGCTGAGTTTCTACTTGTCCCATCTTCTTTTTTGTTTTCGTTCGCCTTGGTCTGCTGGCCGTTGTCGCCTTTCTGAGGCTCTTTGTACTTTTCCAACAGCAACTCTTTAAGTTTCATTAGCTGCGGATTTTCGGGCTCGCCATTGTTTTCAATGAATTTATCTAACATTTCCATTGCTTTGTGGAAGAGCGTTTCCAGATATTCATCAGTTTTCGTGAACTTTTCTCTATCCAACGAGTCGAAGTATTTCTGGAGATATTTTCTGGCATTTTTCATCCTTGTGTTTGAATTCAACGTAAGCGAGATATGATATTCACGAAGGTGTTCTGTGTAGGTCACCAGGTACCTGTCACCAACAGCCACAGCATCTTTGTAGAATTCTTCTACCCACTGACGATACTGTTGACCTCCTTTGTCTGGGGGCCCTGCCTTGAAGGACTTGCCATTCATCGTCTTAAGACGGTTTTCTATTTTTTCCATCACCTTTAAAAGAATACAAATACAAATAAGCTTAAACTACTGACGAGCCTTTGTTTGTTCTGGTTTAAGGAGAGTACAATGGCGAACAGAAAAAGTTTGGGTCTAAGAAGTAAATAATTAGTCCGTTCCGGGGTTTTAAATAAAGTGGTGACGGCGAGAAACAAACAAGGGGTTGGGGTAGGATAAGGGGCGAAGGATTGACAACTTTAAAGACCAAAAAAGCAGCCGAAACCTAAGGTCGAAATAAAAGCCAACAAAGTGAGCGGAATGAGCCTTTGAAATTAAATTTCAAAGATGTTTTCTCATCTCTCGTTCTTCCTTTCTTCCGTTTTCCATTCGCTCTACATTTCGTGCCAACTATCTGAAAGCCTGCAACAGGCCTGTTGATAATGGTATAGCTAGTTCAAATTCCAGGTGAAATTAATTTTCTGCTTGCTTTGATTAATTGCTTGTCCATGCATTTATTACATCTCGTGTTGATTATTGTAACAGTCTTTTGTATGGGTTGCCCAACTACCACCTTAACAAATTGCAGAGAGTTTTGAATGCCTCAGGCAGGCTAGTTTGTAATGCCCCTAGGTTTTGCCACATCTCATCCCTTCTTCGTGGTCTGCATTGGCTTCCTGTTAAAGCCCGGGTAGAATTTAAGATACTGCTTATTACGTTCAAAGCAATTCACGGCCTTTCTCCTAAATATCTATGCGATTTACTAACATTTAAATCGTCCTTATATAACCTTAGATCTTCAGATAGTATATATTTTACCGTTTCTATGCCAGCTGCTCGATCGAAGACGTTAGGTGATAGAGCTTTTATGGTAACAGCGCCAAGGCTCTGGAACTCTCTTCCAAAAGAACTTCGTGCGATTACTAATGTGAACAGTTTTAAGGCTCATATTAAGACTTATCTTTTTAAAACTTTATATTGGTGAGCAATTTTATATTCAGTTCTTACTTGCATGCATATATATTCTTTTTTATTTTTTATTTTTTAATGCATTATCTTTTATTTGTTTCTTTTAAAGTAGTGTAGTTGTAATGCGCAGCTGATCATTCTCATGTTAAGCTGCGCCAGGAGCCCATCAAATGGAGCCTCCATCTCCATTAATTTCTTGAGTCAACCCTTTCCCGAATAGATTTATAAACAGAACGGCTTGTTTCCCGCGAAAAGTGTCATATTTCCGTGAGTCTCGTATGTCACCGTGAAAAAAATGAAGTTGGATGAAGTCGAACTCAGAAGCCCGTCCTTCGACCGTTTTCCTTTTTTACTATACGTCCATTTTTATAATTTTACAGCCGCTGGGATCTGGGTATCATGAAATAAAAGTGAATCATTTGATTTTTGTCATCACCGTGGAGTGGATTTCGCCAGTTAAGCACCGCGTGCAAAAGCGATGACCTAAGTAACAACTAAGGAGGAATGCGTCAGTTCCGAAATTTGAGACATTGCAGTCCTCCTTTACAACTGACTTGTATCACCGTGAGAGCTGCATGATAAAACTGGCACTTGAAAAGTTGAACAGAAGACAACAGTTGCTCGACCGTGAAGCCAACTCAAAAGTAATTTGCTAACAGATGAATTTGTGACATCGCGCTCCAGTCCAAAGACCCTCTTATCTCAAGAAAATCAAAATAAATTGTATCTGCGCCAAACTGGAATTATGACTGACTAACAGCACAATTCTCAGCAATTAATGTAGAAGTTTAGGCCAGTTCTTTCCTTCGAATTCGCATCTGTAGATCACTTTTTTGCGAGAAAACAATGGCTGGGCACGGCGTTACAAAACATAGCAGGGAATCATCACACTAGCTGACGGGGAAAACAACCACAAGGACTACAAGTATTTATTCAGATAAACGCATTTCGGAAAAAAAAAACTTGAAAAACTAGAAATTTGATTAATATTGAGTCATTTAGCCGAAATAAGAACCTTAACGCTCAAAAAAATTGGCTAAAGAAAATAAATCCTGTCAGAACTACAGACTGCAGGTAGTAGTTAGTCATTACGTATGTAACAGACCAGCTTCATGGCCTCTTAATGTGAGACAAGGAACCGAAATTAAGATTAACATAGTCAGAGTTTAAAACTCTCCACAGTTTAATCTACCCGCTAGAAAGGAAAGAAAGAAAATTTCTGAGGGATGAAAACGCTAAAGTCACGTTTCACTTGCTTATGATTGTGTTTGGCCTGTCAGCACCGAATTTCCTGCTGTTTGATGAAGTACAATAGCAGTGCCATTACGTCGTTGTGATTGGCTCTTCCCACCGTCGGCGCGCGAAGTCTCCCCTGGGAACCGTTCTAATTATAAATCTACTCAGGAAAGGGTTTTACTCCAAGGGCTTGTATGGGAGATGGAAGCTCCATTTGATGGGCTCCTGGCTGCGCACAATAAGTTCATTAATTATTATTATTTAACTATAATAATAACTAACTCTTGATAGCTCGAATTAATTGCGCAGAAATTAGGGTCACCTGATGTTTCGCCTTCAGAGTTGATAGTCAAGTGAACCATGCTTATGGGAAGCTTGTGCGAGCATAGGTATCTTGTGTTAAACTGAACGACGATCAGAAAGGCAAACCGGATCATGAAGAAAAAATATTCCAGTATACTATCCCGTCTTTGATTACCTTCGAGATGATCGTTTCGAATGGATCCTGGTCACTCTTTTCCGCGACAAACGTTTCTTGGTCAGGAATGTTTGCATAATTTTGAAGCTCGGCCCGATTTTCCCTCACTGTAGAAATGGCTTCAGTATCTAAATTTGCAGATACAAGAATGATATGTTCTTCTGCTTTGTCCCTACTCGGTGCTCTACCCGCTCCAAGAGACGCTGTCAGGCCCACAATCTACAATCAATCAATCAATAAACTTTATTTACCCTCGAATTTACAGTGTAGCACTTAAGTGCTAATATCTTCGAGCCATGAACAACAAGAGGGGGAAAATCTATGGTAACTTTGACATCGTTTTTTTACAAACCAACTGAAATTGAATTGATTGTCTCGTTGGTCTGCCAGAAACGTGCATCTACGAATATAAGCCTCGTGCAAACGGACGCAACATTGTTGGCCAACAAATCCCAAAATTGGTGGATGTTGAATGTTGCCTCCTTTTGCACAAAAAGTTGTTACGTGTTGTTGGGAATTGTTGCGCAAAGTTTGAAACCGGCCAAACTTTTGAGCCAACAAGCCCCCACATTTCTCTTGTTCCGCCATCTCCAAAGCGTAGCGCAACAATGTGTTGGATCCGTTTGCACATGCCCTTTAAACACTCTTGGGGCCACAAGCGCGCATTACACATGATCTCCTTGAAGACAGCAACGCACTAACTTCGCGTGATAGACCAACACGCGTGATGAGCCAACATGGTTCGGAGTTATTGTATCCGTTTGCACACCATTGCCAACCCCGACACAAGAACTCCTAACATTGTTGCCACAACAATGTTAGGAGTTTATTTAGTGTAGAAAAATCCAAAACTCAGAGCAACAATTGTAATTTTCTACACCAGACGTCTTCTTCAGAGCTGGTGGAAAGCCTTTCTGTTAATGGGAGTTTTGTTGCATCTGTTTGCATGTAGCTTAGGTGTTCTCTACCGCAAAACAGTTGCGGGTTGTGACTCTTTTGAAATCTTTCTATTTTTATTTAGGGTGCATTTCACTGTTCTTAATCCAGGACTAATAATACTCACAAATTTGTAACAAATACCCTCTACCTCAAATTTTTGTCCATTGGAATCCTATATTCTACTCATTAAGTTGAAGAGTTTATTTCGTTATTAATTAATGACGTCATCATCACATCATTTTTATTGTTAAAGATTATTTATGTATTACGTAACTTCGTCAGATACCTTACTATTGGAGTTTCTTTCGCTTATCATTAACCCTGTCGATGGAACTGAATTTCTCACTCCAAGACTTCTGTTCACAACACTGATCGTTTTCTAGCATTACCTGGTTCTTTCGTTTACTTGATTCTCTTTGTGCGTTCCACGTATAGTATGAGCATAGTTTAATAACAATACGATTTTAGGAAACACACAGGGAAAGACATTAAAAGAGAGTTGTGTGGTACCTGTGGTAAGCTGTGTTGGCATCCAGGCTGAGACTTTAACGCCAGGTACGTTCCCATAATATTGTTATAAGGATGCTCTTTGTTGGCGTGGTGACATTCATCGAATAACAATAGACTGATGTCTTTCAACTCCACTCGTTGATCTTTGTTCTCATTGTTTAGGGCGTTGACAAGTATCTGGGCTGTCATCACCACAACATTGTGGTCTTGCAGCAGGTACTTGAGCGGAATATCTGTTGAATTAGCTCCAGAGATTTCTCCGACAGAATACTTGCCGCCAAAGAAATAATCAAATCGCTCCTTTTGTTGTAGGACAAGATTCACTGTGCTAACAATGAACACCACGCGACCTTTCTTTCTGTTGCTGGTACTGGAGGCTATGGAAAATGCAATTCAAATTACAGCTGTGTTCAAACATGCAGGGAACGTGAGACCAAAGGGGGTGTTGGTAAAGTGGGAGGGGGCTATTTCCAAAAAACTAAAGATTTACTAAGAGCAGAGTTTTCTCGGCCTCCCCACTTTAGGTCAATGTCCACTTCGCGGATATCCAGACACCCTTAAGAGGGGTAAAACGTGTGGCACAGACCAGTTTCTTTAAATCAACTCCAAGGTAAGTGGATATCAGAAGAAAACACTAAGAACATTGTTTGACATAGCTTGCCAGATGAACATTCATTCTAAAGAACTTTCAAAAGTAAATTACGCAAAGGTCTACTATATAATCTGTTTCAAATAATCCAAACTACCTTCATGATGGCAGCGACTAAGTTTGTTTTCTCTCGTTGAATTGTTAAATACTCTATGAAAAATTAGAGCATCATGACTTCTAGAATTTTTGCTAGTTCATGTAGAAAACGAGATGAAACCGTTATAGTAAAATTTCTTGGATATTAACAAGTTACAATTCTAGACAAAAAAAGGCAAAAGTCATTAAAAAATGAAGGAAAAAAATACGAGGACAATTTACCCTTTCATTTAAGCTGAAAGGTTACCTCTTTGTAGATATACCAAACGCAAAAGTAAAGACGACTTCCTGATTCTTCGTTAAACCACTTAAAAACTCAAGTCCTTTAACTGTTTGTTCGAATCTTTTCCGTTTACTCGTTTACAGTTCATTCGAAGAATAAGGAAGCTTGTTAAATATCCATAGTTAAGCACAAAATGTAATACTTCGCTCTGAATTAACCTATATGTGCGTCAATTTTATATCGTTCCGCGATGTATAATGCACTTATCTCGTAACTAATTACTGGTAGCGATTATAAGTGATTTCTTCTCGCGTACCTGACTTCTCGTCATCGCTGTTTAACCTTTCGAGATGCCTCTTTGCTATTTCTATGGCGACGTACGTTTTTCCACTGTTCGTGGGTGCACATATGATGGTATTTTTGCCTTGGATCGCTGGTTCTGCTAATTCCTTTTGATACTCTCTGAGCTTAAGCTCTCCTGGGCCAAGCGCGTTTGCTTTGTCTCCCAAGAAAACTGTAGATTAAGGGGAATTGACTTTTAAGCGCCTTGTAAAAATAAATTACGCTTAAGTCAGTAAAGCATGATTGGCATATTAGTCTGTATAACCAAAGCTAACCAAAGAAAACGAAAATAGGTTTTAAGCCGGTAAATACAGCCGCCTCTTATGAGGCGATGGAAGTCTGCTGTATTCGCAGACTAGTAGAGGGAGTATGTGACGATGGTTTATAAGTGACCTATTTTATTTTCAACCTTTCGAATCTGATAGGTCTTGAGAAGATATGTAAAGTCAAGTATCTTCAGTTTTTTATTTAGGCATTCGTACATATATCTTTGGCTACGGTAAATAAGTAAAACATTAACAACTACATTGTGTTTTTAAGCAATTAAACTAAATAAAAAAAAACTACCTTCAGGAATAATGAATTCCATTTCTTGTTCGCTGTCTTCAACTCTTCCATTTTCTGAAGTAAAAAAGGACTGTTTTAACCTTCGAGCCGATGTCTAGCATTATCTTGAATTACAACAAGGAGAGAAATAAAAAGAGGGAAAGAAGTTACTAACTCTCTGGACATTTTGTGACTTCAGAGACAAATGTACCTGATTTTCTTGGAATAGAGAGCAAACGATCACTTTCTTGTTCAGACTCAATCTCTGTCAGTTAGAGAAAATTATAAAGGAAAGCGTTAATCACTCAACTTGTTTGTAACAAACTGACGCCGATTAGTGAGGACCGGTGGGGATAAGGAGCAAATGACCATTTGATTGCAGTGAACAAAGCTTAAAGATGGTAGGCTTTTGCCTAGTCCCTTGGCCTCGTTATCTCGCGCGGCCTATGCGTCCTGTGTCAAGAGGTGCGCGGAAATACATTGACTGAAAAAGACTTTGAAAACGCGGTATAGGGGTTCAGAGGTAAAGTAGGCTTATGGTAAGCTGAACAGAGAAAGGTTAAGATCCCTATTAAAATGTAAATATAAATTTAGCTAAGTCTTTGTACTGTATACTACGGCTAACATGTAAGCATCTGAAAAGTCGCCTTTCCAACTGCCAAACTAAATAAAACTGAATTCACTGCCTAATTTAAGTTTTATCAAATGCTCGCGAACTTGCATACCACTATTTCACTTTGACGGTACAGTAAAAAACCCCTAGTCACTCAAAAATTGGTTGTACAAACATAACATCAGTTTTCTATTTACACCTCAGATTTTCCTGAGCACTTGAAAAGGCATGCATATCTAAAAAAAAATTAACCATGAGTGGTTTTCTGTCTGATCCTCCAGTTTTGACACATTTAAAATGAATATTTCGGCATCGTGTCAAAATGAATTGCCTGAAAACTATGATTATCATATCTTGGTACCTGGTACAATTCACAACTGTACAATTTATTACCCAATTATTCAATTACCTTTAAGCTTGTCTCTTATTTTTTTGAACTTGTTTGTACAAAGGTTAAGTTCCAGTTTCGGAGTCTTTTCCAAACCCTCCTTTTGTAAATCCTTCAGCGCGTCCTTTACGAACACTGTTTGCAGCATGGACTGGAATTCTCCCTCAGTGTACATGTCCCATAGTTCATTTGCTGCTTGTTCACTTGACAGACGGAACGTTAAGATAATGGAGCCTCTTGAGGTGTTAACAAACGCTGCACCCTTAGGAAGATGCTATAAAAGAAAACTGTGCATGTTATTGTCGTCGTCGTCATCATTGTCGTTATCATCATCATCATGAAAATAGTCATCATTATGGAGCCGTCATTAGTTTCAAAAACTCATGTCTGCTGCGTCTATGACATCCCGCCACCATGCCCTCTGGAAGCGAGGTTGAGGAGGAGAAATAGGGTTTTCCCCCTCCCTTAACCCCAACATCTTTTTCGCAGGCTTCATTGGGAGGCTAGAGTAAAATACCAAAATCTGGTCATCGAGATAAGAAATCAATTTATTACCTGACTGTAAAGGCAAAACTTTGTCAGAGCTAATCACTTAAACGAAGACTAGAGTGCAGAGGGGTTATTAGACCACTTGTTCGATTCCCGTGTCCCGTGTCCCGTGTCAATACTCAGGGTCTCAAAACAACTGAGGAAGAAGTACTACACCTTGTTTGCCACCAAGACTTTTGCATAAGCATTGTCTTCAATTTTGTGTTTGTATTTGTATTTTATAATAATATGAGCATAGATAGATAGATAGATAGCGTAATAGTAATAATGAGTAAAAAGTTAAGAACTAAAAACCTAAATTATACATGCTACAGGTTAAAAATGTTAAAATTTCAGATAGATTAAAATATTAAAAGCTATAAAATATCTAAAATATACATGAGTTAATTTCTTTAAAAGATGCGTCTAAAATGTTCCATTCCTTAGCGCATTGATAACAAAGTCTCTGGTTTCCGTAATTTATTTTGCCACACAGATAAATTACGTGATTACAATTACAAAGAAAGATACAAAAATGTACAAAGTAATGGCGAGGAGGCCTAAAGGAAACTATGAAGGTTATGTTAATTAGAACACAATTGTTATCTAAAGAAATTAAAGTAACAATACGGCTGTATATTAAGGAAAAAGACACTGAAATGTTGAATATTAAACAGTTTGTCCAGATTTTTGTTAGAATACACTAATACATGTAATTATTACAAATAAATGTTTAAGTGCTTTTTTAATGAGACAGCGGAATAAGAGTGTCAGTTTTTAAGGAGTACAAGTTATAATAAGGTCCTTGATAAAAGACAGGAAATTGTTTGATTTGAGTACGACAGAACGGCAAACGAAATTTGTAGGGGTTTCTTGGATTTACCTTTGCAAGATAAATTTACAATGAAATTATCAAGCTAGATTATGGTTTTGATAGGAGAACATAAACAAGCAATTTTTATTAAGTATATATCATGAAATTTTAAAATACAAAGATTTTTGAAGATTGGGTCAGTATGTGAAATGTGGATCGAAAGGAGTTTTAGCTATAGTTCTGATCTGATCACTCACCCCTTTGTAATCTCAAGACGAATAAGGTTAGTATTATAAGTTGAGGCCCAAGCTATGTTGCGACAAAAAAGAATGGATAGACTATGTAAAAATGTAGTGTTAGTAAACTTTTAGTCAAATAGAAACTGGACTGACGGATTTAGAAACTTCGTTGGCGACTTGTGAGATTTCAGACTTCCAATTTAAATTTTCATCCAAGATTAACGCCAAAGAAAACTATTTCTATTACCTGATCTATTTTTTGGCCATCTATTAAAAGTTGAATGTTATGATTTGTACGATGTTTTTTTTTGAGAAAGCTTTTTTCTTTTTTTTTTCTTTTCCAGTACAACTTTATTGAACATACACATGTACAGTTAACATTCACAAAAGACAATCTGCAACAAAACGAAAACTACAACTTGAAGCTGACAAAAAAGAAACCTAACACAATAAAAACATTAGTGGTAACTAAAATTAAATGGGAGCGCAATCAGTTAAGTAAACAGAATTTCATACCGTATTTAAAAGAGACGAAAAAACAGACCATTTTGATCTGAAATCTTTTTCGCGACCAGTCGTACAAGAAATATACTTTTCTAGACTAATTTTATCACGAGCTAGGGAAACAAATTCATTAAAGATGTAATATGTACCGTTAAGACCTTTTACGTAAAGAGAATACTTTCCTATAATAACTAAATGATTGAGGACTAAACAGAATTTAGAATCGTTTATTAATAATGCCAAACCAAGAGAGGATAAAGGGGACAGAAAAGGCATCCCCCATACACACCCTATTCCATAGGTAATTCGTCTCGAGTTATTTTTAGAATCGGGGTAAAGTTAGCTCGCGCGCTACGTGGATGTTTCGTGGAGGTTTCCATGACTAAACGCCATGCAAAACATGTCGGGCGAAAAGCAATGAAAGCGTAAAGAGATCGAGAGCATTCCTGAATATTGAAGCGAAATGAGTCGGCGCTCACCTGGGGAAAGGGAATCGCTCGACTCTTTGACAACCCGTGAAATCAGTTTAACTCGAAGTTATCGTAACCTCAGTGCTTTAATAAAATGAGAAGTTTCGCCGGTTTATTGAAACCGGTCGTTTGTACGATAAAGCAAGTAGCAAGTAATATTCATGTACATGTAATTAGTTTTACAAATTTGAATTTTATTGTAGTTTTTTTAAGCTGTTAAGCGCTGTTGATCAGTGAATGTAAATAGCGCTTCAGAAGTTATTAAATTATTATTATTATAGAACGCCAAGTGATATTTTTGTTGAATAATAAAAGAATATTAAAAGAATAAATATCAAACCAGAAATTGGTCTCTTCAAACTGTAAATTATAAATGATCCTGAGAGAATATTCACTGTGTTAAGGATTTCCCTGCAGTACTGTTAGCTCTATACAAGAGAGAAAGGGCGATTCTTTTTTAATTTCCGTTTCGCTGACACAGCTTTGGCAGAAATCTCTCTTTAGTCGTTTTCGTCGACAAAACGAAAAGCAATATTGCTCTCCGCGTCTTCCGCCATTTTTTTTCTGCCTCAATTCGTGAAGGACGCGTGGCTCTGAGCGTGGGTCATCCACGCGAAACACATTCGCGCTATGTGATTGGCTGTTGTCTAATCCCCCTTGGGATCTGTGGTCTTAAAAGAGACAGCAGCTTAGTATAAATGTTTTGTGAGACATTTCCTCTATTAATATTTGCGGTGTTGAGCTTTGCTCGAGGGAGCAATTAAAGACTTTTTTCAAACTTTGAGGGATGGCGTTAACAAGGCTAAAGTACTGTAAGAAATTACACCTTACGTTAAATTTAGTACGAAAAGTGTCGAAGGACGGATAGCAGTTTTACTTTGTAACAAAGAGGTTGTTGATTTTGAGAATTCCTGCGTAACGCCAATGCTGCAAGTACACAGATTTCTTATCAGACGTAATAAACTTGTTATTCCAAACTATCTGTTCAAGAACATCATTTTTGCTTTTTGGGTTAGAAGCTATTACGTCTTGCCAAAATGCGATTATTTCGTGATACAAAGCTGGACGGCATTTGCTTAGAGTAAGGTGACCGATGTCATAGTTACATTTGAAAATCTCTGGGCCCCCAACATTCGCTAGGAGGAACTTCGGGATGTACTGCCACGGAGCGTCCGGGGTTTGTGCAAAGTCGCTTAACCCAATTGAACTTTAAAGCTTTGTTAAATAAAGCAAAGTCTTTCATCTCTAAGCCTCCCTCTTGCCTTGTTTTGATGAGCATAGTGTATTTTATCTTGGGTGGTTTGTGGCCCCAAATAAAATCTAATACTATTTTGTTTACTTCATCAACAAAAAGTTTTGGAGTTTCCATTACACTGCAGATAAATACCAGTTTGGAGAGCGCGAAGGATTTCACTAGATATATTTTGCAGTAAACAGAAATGTCCCTTTGAGACCATATGCTTAACAGTTTTCTTAAGGAAATTAACTTATCCAAGAAGTTCCTCTGTCGAACCGTGCCACGTTCGTACGCAAAATATTGTACGATTTGTACGCTTTTGGCATAGTTTAAATACAATAAAAAGAAAAAGCCTGTTAACTCTAAACCAAATTGCAAACTTGTTTAACTCAGTGTTCAGTATGTTAGACAAGCAGTCTTTATCCTTACTAAACAGAAAAACGTTTGTATCATCGACAAATAAGATCGGCTGTAGAATTGTAGATGCGCTGATTATATCGTTGATGCAGAGCGGAAAAAAATAAAGGTCCTAGTATCGAACATTGGGAACGCAACACACAACGTTGGCACGAGAAGAACATCGGCATTGTATGTTAAAAATTGAACTCTGTTGGAGAAATAGCTCTTTATCCATTTCAGAACCAATCAACGTATTCCACAGTGTTCAAGTTTATCAAATAAGATGGAATGATTTACTGTCTCAAAAGCTTTCAAGAGATAAAAGCAACCACTAATTCACCGCGATCAATGGCAGAAGAAAATCTTTTCGTGGAAATCAATCTACGCAAGCGTCGTAGAGTGTTTTTACCTAAAGCCGAACGGATATCACAGAGAATGTGTAAATTAGTTAAATAATCATGCAAGCGATTGTAGATGATTCTCTCAATATTTGGAAAAGTTTGCTAAAACCGAGACAGGCCTATATTAGGATAGGATATTATCGTACCCAGCGGCTTTCCCGGAAGCAAAATACCTAGCAATGGTAATTTTCTGTTGTTGGGCTACGGAAAGAATTGATTCTGGAAAGAATCCAGATGGAAAATCTTTATGCGAAGACGGAGGAGGCTGTATTTTTTCCCTAAGGTTCGGATCCTGCTACCCTGCGAGTAGGGTCTCCTTCGATCTTCCTAGATAAGTTGGGAAGAGGAAGGGACCTCTGCCAACATTCTCGACAATTTATTTATTTATTTATTACGGATTCACTCCACTACATTACAAGCAAATAAGCTAACACTACTATTAAAAAAAAAATGTTGTGGAGAAGGAGACAACCAAAAGCGCCATTGCGCCATACTAGGGATGCCCCCACTATTTAAAGTATACGAAAATATAGAAATAGAAATATAATTGTTCTAGTTATCCTTAATAAAGATTTAAAAAAAAAATTAAAAGTTGCAATACTGTTTGACTCTCCAATATGATTGGGTAAACCATTCCATTCATTTACAACGCGGTTAAAAAAACTATATTTAAAACCACCAGTTCTACAAAATTTGGAGCAAGATCCTGTGTGTCATTTTTCCTCAAGTTATAACCTGTATTTCTGTCCTTACAAAATATGAGCTTATTTGAAATGTCAATATCATAATGTCCATTAATTACATTAAAAAATGTAACATCTCTAGTGAACCTCCTATTAGATAATGACAACGTTTTTAGCTTAGATAGTCTAATATCATAATCATCATCACACTTAGTGATCCATCTGGTAGCTCTTAGCTGAACAGCCCCCAATTTATCAATGTTAGGTGTAGTATGAGGGTTCCAAGTTTCGCATGAATATTGTAATAAAGGTCTCACAAGACTACAATAAAGTGTGTTCATGGTATCAATGTCCTTTAAGTCCCTACAAGTCCTCTTAACCAACCCTAAAACCCTATTAGCCTTAGCAGTTATTTTATCTACGTGTTTGTTCCATGAAAGATTACTAGCAGTAATTAATCCATATTCTTTATACACATCAACACTTTCCAAAGGTTGACCTTCAATATTATAATCCCCAACTAAGGGTGACTTTTTCCTGGTTATTCTCATGATCTTACATTTCTTGATATTAATTCTCATCTTATTCATCTTACACCAATCTGAAATTTTATCTATGTCACTTTGAAAAGTAGACAGATCTTCTTGAGTACTAATAACCCTATACATTTTACTGTCATCAGCATACAAAGCAATTGAACTGTCCTTACTAATTACCCCCGGTAAATCGTTGATGTAGACTATGAAGAATAATGTTCCCAACAAAGAACCTTGTGGGACACCAGAGGTTACGGTTAACCAGTCGGAAGCCTCTCCTTTCACTACAACACGCTGTTGACATTCTGTTAAATAATCTCTACACCAATTTAGCAAGTCTCTATGGACACCATATTTGAAAAGTTTGGTAAATAGAATATTATGACAGACAAGGTCAAAAGTCTTTGAAAAGTCTATAAACACTACATCAACTTGACCTCTCTTGTCCAAGACTTTGAACCAATCATGATGTACTAAGAGTAGTTGAGTAGTGCAGGAACGACAAGTGAGTAACCCGTGATGAGAATCATGTATAAATCTAATAACTTGTTCTTAAATAGCAATGACAATTCATATTGAGAATGCCCAAATTCAAATGAAACAAAGCCTCTCAATCTCGCTTTCAAACTAAGGAGCGTGCGACTTCTCGAAGTTTTCATTCAAAAACTGGGGTTACAAATAAGTTGTAAAAAACTTTAATTTTGATTTTTTGTTATAAATCTAGTCGCCCATTAAAATATAGTTACAGATAAATTTCAAATAGTGCACGAGAAATGAACCAGAAGTGACAGATACGCGTCAAATATTAAAAGTATCGATCATTTAAACTGATGCAACGTGGATTCTATAGCCTCATGATATTTTTTTCAATTAATGCTATGAATGAGCAAACACAAAAGCATATGCATAGAAAATATCTCTTAAATATTTTATTCAAAAACACACCAGCTTATCCTTCCCAGAACTTCGCGTAACACATCCGTTCATGCAAGTAAAATCGGTGAAGCACATGCTAAAATCCCCCCAAAACAAATTCATCTCAAATCAACGTGTTTAGATAGATAGATAGAAACTTTATTAAAGTGTCAAAAGCCGTCTAGCCAGGGAAAAAAGAATCCCTTACTAATTTAACAATTTTTCTAAAAAGAGGACTATAGCGCTCTGCCGCAGTTTACTGAACTTTGAATCGATAATTTCCTCAAAATTACTGCGTGTAATTGAAGCGGCAGCCATATGTTTTGTTATGGAGCGTGAGCGAACAAAAAGTTAGCAAAACTCCAGAACACGCGTGCGTGCAGAGATAAAACTGGTTTATCCAGTATGAAACTTATTTCACTCATCCAAATCGTGGGATCATCGGCAAATCAAAGGAGTTTGAACAGAGTCGCTTACGCTTTCTTATCTAGGAAAGATCGGAGCGACTCTGCTAGGAGGGTAGACCAATATACTAGCGAAGTAACTGTTAAACCTATTCCACTGGATTAGTCTCTTTACTATCTGATCTAAATATTGCATTGAAGTGCGGCCTTGACTTTTTTCTATTTAAAGACTTCGTTTAACATTTTCTAGGTCAAGCGGGTATTTGATTTAGCATCGTCCAATTTCTTTCCATAATACCGACGCCAAGCCAAACGAAATGTATGGGTAAATTTGCTCTTGTATGTTTTGCAGAGTAAAGCGTTATCCGTTGTTGGAACTTGAAGATATTTTATAGAGTTTATTCTTAGTAGTTATGACTACTACTCTTTGATGAAATTAAAAAGTAGCTTTCGTTAATCACAGGTTTTAAAAGCGCCTCTACTTTCGACTCGCGTTCTTGAGAGGAAAGCAATCATTATAAATCTTTGTATGCATTTCAATTCGTGAAAGGGTTTGCACGCAATATTTGGCTCGTCAAAAGCTTTAATCGAAGACCAATCAATATCTTTTAGTTTTTCAACAACGTTAGGAATATTATTCGAGATTCTTATATGTAATAAAAAAGGGATCTTGTCGACATCAATTTACCGATTAGGGGCGTTCCTGGGCAAATTCAAGCTTTACGCCCGCCACCAGGATGTTGCTGATAAACACTTACCAATTTACACCGGTAAAGGGCCCAGGTTTTACAGGCCCTAAAGTAACTTTAGTCGGACCTCTGAGTTACAATCAGTTTACGTAAATGTTGTATCTCCCTTCTTCTATTTAATATAAATAACGCAAAGACAAAGCTGTTTCAGAGTGGCATAAAATGTAAGGCCGAAAATGCCAATTTGCGGGGGTTTCCTGGCGCAGAACTCCTGGACCACCCTGTCTGTGTCGATGCTCGTGTCCCTGTACGCATATAGAAGCGCGAGCCCAGAGAGCCTTTGCTCAAATAGTTTACATTGACACAAAGATATTTACTCCGCGTCGCCTGTCTGCCCGTGCAAAATCTTGCGACATCTGTCCATACTGTACATTGAATATAAAACTAGAGTGTAGGAGCGCAGCAGAGCTCTGTCTTGAGGAGCTGCATGCCATCGTTGATACTCTCGGCAAACATTTGGAATATGAAAACACACAAAAAAGATTTTGAATTTTTTTTTTAATTTGGCCGTTCGAAAGAAAAAATCACCCCAAAATCTTTTAAGCGCGTGCTTAACTACCTTACACTCAGGTACGCCCCTGAAGATGTGCTATCTAAATAAATTGAAAGACGGGCAGATGATCTGAAATGTATAAACCGCTTCTAGATCACACAAAAAATGTTATTTACAAAAATATTATTACTTAACGTAGCAGTCTGAGAAGTAATTCGTGAAGGACGTGCAACTCAAAGAAAAACATATTACAGTACATTCCATCCAGGAATATTGGAATGTGAGGTGATGATTTTGACAGTTAATCAAATTAACATTAAAGTTTCACTTGGAATGGCTGTAAGTATAATACCCAGGAGAAATTAAAAACAGAGGTTATGAAAAATTTGGGTGGCAAACAAGGTGTATTATGGAAGATGTGCAAATGGAGAATGGCTTGGATTACCCATAGTTCTCTAAATGGCTCTCCCGGCCGTTAGTAACGCATCAACTTACTGCAGTTGCATTTGCTACGATTTAGCCAGACCAGTTTAATTCGACGTAGTATGCACGGCAATTAAAGTTTTTTAGCGAAAATTTCGAGAAAAAGGCCACTCTTTCGTTTTCAAAATGATTTGTCTGTTCTCACTTTCGTTGAGCGTCGTTAAATAATGTGCGCAAAGTAAAACTCTTGTTCCCGTATACGTTTTAAAAGGTTTCAACACTTATAGCCTCCGTTTATAGATCAGCTGGGTGTGTACAGAGAAATGAATAAAAAACTATCGCCTACCTTTTGAAGTTCTTTTCGCATTCTTTTGCTTTCAGAAGACTTTTGGTCGCTAAAAATATCAGCAACAACACGATCTATTTCACAAAAACTTTCAGTCTGCACTTCACATCCCTCTGGTAGGAGGTTTCCGGAAATCGCCACATCTAATGGCAATTTAAAACAGAAAGAAAAGTATGTTGCTCAGTTGCAAAAAATAATACATACATACATAAATGCTTTATTGAACACTTCCCCTTAGCGGGCTTTTCAGCGTCAATTACAAAAACGAATTCAAGCATATAATAACGCAAAAAGATTGACAATACATGTTATTTAAAAATTGCAAATTATTTAAAATATCATTCCCTCCCAATCCTTCCTCTTAAATCCAATCCCCTTAACAGTTATTCTGAAATTATTCATTATTAATTATAATTATTCCCTCCTAAATTTGTCTAAAAGTGTCCCTGTAAGCTTATACCTAAAACTATTAACATCAATGCTTAACTTAACATTGTTGTCTAAATTATTCCAAATTCCAACTCGACTCCCAACGGATTGTCCAAGAAATGAATGAAGATCTGCTGCAGGTGCGCAACTGGTACGTCGAAAATCGGCTATTACTGAATCCAGACAAGACAAAATTAATTGTTTTCGGGAGCTGACAGATGACCTCTAAGCTCCATGAATTTCATTTGTCTTTGTTGGGAAAGGACATTTCCCCAGTGCAATCAGCGAGAGATCTTGGCTTAATTTTGAATCCGAACTTAACATTTGATAACCATATAACGACCTCAGTGTCGGAATGTATCGCACGCCTAGCGCAAATTAACCGGGTCAAACATTGTTTAGACAAAAATACGTTGTTATCCGTAATACATGCCTTAGTCTTCAGCAAAATGTACTACTGTTCGAATGGTTGGGCAAATATCACAAGTAAGAATGTTAGAAAATTGCAGGCCGTTCAAAACTTTGCTTGCCGAATCGTCAGCGGTGCGAAAAAGTATGATCATGTAACACCCATCTTAAAAAGCCTGTCTTGGTCGCTTGTAAAGGACCAACTATACTATCGCCAAGCTATTATGGCCCTCAAATGCATGACCGGTCACGCCCCTGAATATCTTACATCCCAATTTATTACCCGTGAGCAAGTTAGCGAATGAACAACTCGGAGTAGCCAAAAGCTGAACGTCCCCCTAACTACAACATATAAACTGAAAAGTAGAGGTGCCAAGATGGATCCTTGTGGTACTCCAATCGTGACAGGTAGAAAGTCAAACAAACTTTAGTTGATACGTACTGTTTGATATCTAGATGAAAGATAGCTCTGGAACCATAAAATCGCCTGGCTGGATAAACCTATTTAGTATATACTAAAACAGTGGATAGTATTTTTCGCGCGCTCTGATTGGCTACTCAATCAGTGAATATCCTGCACTTTTCACTGATTCACCTCCATTTCCTCCGAGCGAGCGAAACTAAACTCGCTAAGTTGCGAGCAAAATACTTTCCAGGTTTGCTGCCGTAACAAACAAAGAAATTTCACAAATAATCAAGCAAGCTGTTCCCGAAAAACACGAAGAAGATGACAAAGTTCGGTTTGGAAGTTTTAATAGGTAAAGCTTTGTCTTTGTTACTTGAATTTATCGATGAAACCGGAGAAAAAGTTCTTTATTTTCAAATGCAAATTAAGCTTAAGTCTTGTTTATAAATAAGCTTAAAACTAAATTTAATAATCTTTTTTACAGAATGATTTTAAATACAAAAAGAATTCACAACTCCTTTTCAAGAAATTTCCCCGCAAGAGCTAAACCTAGTAATAGTTGACACTACAACTACCCCCGCTCCGTATATTGTCGGTCAATAGTATTCTTGCTCGTTGTGTAGCTCTTTGATATGTACCGATTCATAATGAAGATTTTCATACATATTCCACACAATAGGTGAGATATATACAGGAGATGCAAGGTTCCATGCACAGGTTCAGTTCGATTTACACAGCTTTGATCAAAACTTTCTCAGTTTCGAGAATAGTTTATTCTAAACCATAAGAACAGATTTAATCAGAAGTTGAATTTTTCGCTGGCATCGGCAAATTCTGATTGGATAATCAGGCAATAGAACAAGCTTGTTCAGCAAACACAACTTGCAATTTCAGTTAGCCTGCGTCGTGTTGCAATCAGAAGAACGGGAACGTCATTTGACGACGGGAAAGCGCGCAGAAAGGACTAAACTCGACTTCCGGTGCTCAATTTGCCACTCTGCCATTGGTCAAGCCAGTTGTTTCATTTGCGGGCGCAGTCGTGAACTGACGTTCCCGTTCTGTTGCTAAATCCAGCCTATTTTCTGAACGATGACTTCTTCCGTGGGATTCAAAATCAAGACCGGTACCTTAAGCTGAGTGCTTGGCTTTCCCGAAATATCTTCTATATTACAATAATTCAACAAAATATCGGGATCTTGTCCAGCGAGTGTAAGTGTTACTTGCACAGGCCTCTGTGTATAAAATGCTTGAATACCAGCAATTCCAAATTGTGCGTCCGACGAGTCACTCACTGTCGAGCTTTCTGCAAACAAGGTCTTCCCTCTGGCATGATAGTGATGGGAAGCTGTCTTTGCTTCAATCTTCCACAGACTCTCAATGGAAATCTTCCTCGACATTAGCGTTTCTTACAGCTTTCTCGATCAAACTGTACAGTTCAGTTACGTTTCTTATTTTGCGACCAGAAGGTCTGTAGACCCGTTCTAATAAGTTTTCATTTCTGGTTAATCGCGACCAAATAGAGCCAAAACAACGAGCTTAAATCAGCCCTGCACTTTCAACTCTTGCCGTCGGCGAAAATAAATTTTCAAATGAGGCTCGTCCTCCCCCTCAAGTGACGTTAACGCCACAGAATCTAAAACTGCTGTTTTTGGAACGTTTATATTGTGTTTCCGTCCCCTTTTACAATTTTTTCTGGGAGTCGCGGCGCCGACATTCTGTTACGAAGATTTTCTCATGTTCTACAGCTACGAAACCGCCGTTGGCGATACATTCCCGGGTGAAGTCAGTTATGCAGAAAAGAGCGCGCCTAATTAACAGTGAAGTGACAGCTGGGATAATTGAAATAAGGGGCGAAATGCAGAAGACGCGGGCTTTTGTGGCAGGCGTTTCCCTTCCTCTCTTTCTTACACTCCAGCCACCCCTACCCCCCCCCCTCTCCCCTCACACACAAACACACTCAGTCCCTTAACGCCTGTCGTAGTTTCTGTATTTGAGGTTCATGGTTGAGACTGTCGAAAGCTTTGCTCATGTCTAAAAAGACGAAGGCAGTAATTTCTTTTTATCCATGACTTTTATGATACAGTCATAAGAATGGATGATTGATTTTTCAGTAGAATGATGTTTCTCTTTACCACTTTGCGCAGTTGCAAGTCGATCCTTGGAAATCAAATATAGGTCTACTTGTTTATGTACTACTCGTTCACACACTTTCGACAGGGTAGGTAGTAGTGATATTGAACGATTATTGTTTGCTAATTCATGGTCGTCGGTCTTGGTCTTGGGAATTGGAACAACCTCTGCTATTTTCCACTCTATGTGAAAAATGCTACTTGAAAGCGAAGTGTTAATAAGGTCAGTAATTGATGGAAAGAATCGAAGATATACGGCAGTCTTTGTAAAATCAATTCTGTCCCTTATAAATAAATAATAAATAAAATAATAACAATAACAATCCATAATAACATCCAGTTTGAGGCAATTTCTCAAAAAGCCTTATAACTTTGACAATTTTGTGCGTAGAAGACTGTCGGACCACAACAAGATAACAGTTGCCATAAAACATCTTCCATGTCACATCTAAGGTAATGACGTCATCAGTCGCTTGACTATTTCCGAATTAGACTATTTTTGTTGCTGTGAAAAGATTTCATGAAAGAGTTAAAAACAGGTAGTATATCTGAGGTTTTAGTTGTGTGGGGCATTTAAAAATAACCAGTTGACATCCGGCATTAAGAATTTAAGGGGGTAATGAACATGAGCGGAAAAGTAGGGAGACTAGGCCGAGGGCTGTAGAGAGTCAACCTTTTATCAGACGGCAGAGAAAATGTGCTGGAAAGTAATGTTCTACCAGATAATTTTTCTCATCACCAAAAGAGGGACATGACGTCATCAGTCATGTGATCAAAGCGTTTTGAATGCTTTAGTTCGTTTTTGAAGTACCTTTTCTGTCATAAATTGGCAGGTTTTTGCTGTTTTTCTCAACAATTCTTTACACCGTATTGTCTCTGAGCAATTATCATTCCATTTGTAAAGCAGAAGCAAACGAAAACTGAGCCAGAAGTTTAAAAGTTGCGTAAATTTGGCTGATATTGAAAGTTGAAATCGACAAGGAGACCTACTCTTGAGACTTTTGTAAAATCCTTTTTTCGACTTAACTGTTCGTTTGCCGAAATAAATGTTCAACGTTTGTTAATAAAGGAGAACTTTAAAAACTAAAAGGATGTATTTGGCGGCCATATTGTTTTTCTTCATTCTGGGGAGATAGGTCATATAGTAACTCTTCTAACCCTAGAAACCAAATGGTTTGCTACCCTAACCTAAAACAATGGATATAATGATGAACAATGTTGTGTTAATGTTTTCCCGACCGATGAAAAGACACCTTACGAGCAGGGAGAGAATCGTACGGTCATACGGTTCGGTCGGTAGCCCCACGATCGATAGTTCATAAATTTCTTAAACGTTCCCCGGCATGGACCAAGCCTGAAAGAGTATTAATGGTTTTATATTGTGAGCTTTACGTCTAGCTTCGATCACTTGAAGATTTAATTATACACGGAAATTAAAAAAAAAAGCGAAAAATTCATCTTTGAAAACTGTCAAACACCACGGAGAAGCAATATATACCTCTTTTAAACTCGAATTGTTAGCGTTTACCGTGAGGTGGTCCAGTGGATTGAGGCGTTAACTTTCAGTTCTAACTGATTGTGAGGGTCCAAGTTACAATCCCCTTAAAGCAAATTTTTCGTAACCTTTTTATTTTTCTTTCTTTAAAATCTCTTTTTCACTCTCCTTTTTACCTGTGTGGTGCATACAATATAATGTGGTAAACTGAAAGCAAAGTTTACAGGAATATAAAAAATGCGGCACTGTTATCATGACCCAGCTCAATTGTCGATTTTCACATGTGCATAATTTAATTCCAGCGGTGACTGCTTTGAGATGGGACGTCTGAATCAACTAAATTCGACAGTTTCAATTTAAATACGACTTTGTCGAATCTGCGACCGAAGCAGTTGAAAATTCGACTTAGGTTCAACATTTGAAGTAGAAAGCGCATTTTACATGTGCCGAAAATAACGCATTTGTTATAGAAACCCTCATCCATATTGGATAAAAAAATATATAGAAACTGGGAATATTTACAACAAACGAACAGGTGTCTTTTTTTGCAAGAGCATACGCACTAAGGCTTGATAAAGAGCACGCGACCAGTGACAGCGACCGTGGTGCATATTCATAGGAACCAAATTCTTCACTTTGAAAGCCTGCATGAGATTCAAATGGTAGCAGGAACTAAGGAAAGACCTTCGTTGTACAAAATAAGTAAAGAAATGGTGATTTAAAGCGGAGACTGATGCGCTGAACGAGTTGAAAGAGCAAGTTTCTCAAGGATCGATGTCTGACACGAACTTGGCTGCTTGTTGTTGTTTTGCGCTCGACTCGTGTCTTGATTCCCCTTCAAGAACCACAATGTTTGGCATAGAATGCATTATTGTGGGAAGCTATTGAACAAAATGTTCTTTATTTAGTGTTTGTCTGTAAATCGAATCTAAATTAGTTTCTCGATGCAGTGGAGAATTTCTGTCAATAATTTGTGAGTAGCTGATTTAGCCGTATTTCGGGAGTGGATTAATAATGATCAGCGGGCGACTACCACGCCGTTATCAGTTGGAATGGAAAGTCGTTCCCTTACTCAAGCATATTAAGGTATGGCGCAATTTTTGGTCTCGACCCCCCGCGAAGATAAAACTGTTTTTTTCTTTGGCGGCCATGCGTTTTAATTCTAAAACTTGCTAAAAACTTTCGGAAATTTTCTTTTGAGGCATTGAATCGATTACGGTTGAACTGATGTGGTCACGTGAAACGTGACGTCATAATGCTATTCAAAAGAAAATGCTAAATGGGGTAAGAATGGAACGGAACGGAAAGAATTTTTATTTTCTTCAAAAGATATTAACAGATAAAAAGTATCACGTGACCTGTTTTGCTTAATTGTTAATTAAATAAAAATGGGAGACAACCATTCCGGCCAGATTGAAGCGAGGAACCATTACAGAATAACAAAAACAATGTATTTAATATCTACTGTATGGCATCTCGCCACCCCATTTTTAGTTTTCTCGTCTTTCCTGGAGTTGACCTTAACTGGTCACGTGACTCAAAAATATGGTTTCTTGAGTAACAGGAAAATTAAGTTTACCAATATCTTAGAGGTTGATAAATTTTGATGGGTTCTGGTAAATTCTCGCAAGGTTATGATCATTATAAGATTTTATGCAAATTAGGCTCAGGCCATGCCTTAACATTTAACCGATTCAAAATCGGAAAATTGTAGAACTTCTTGTTTTTGGGTGGACTAACATTGTAACGTATCTTTTACAGGAATTTTCTTTCAGCCATAACTTGAGTGCTCTAATAATTTTTAACTTTTGGTCGGCATCACATGTTTACTGTACTTCTTGGGAAACCTAACCGTTTGTTTCATCAAAATCGGTCACAAGATTGGACTTTAATTTCGGTCTTATTGAATGCAGTTTTGTCTGTGTCTCATTGATACTCATTTTTTTAATTGTTTTCGAGACATACAGAGTGACTACCGCCGACATTTCACCAGGTGACTAATCTACGTCTCGTTTGCTCTCAATTTTGTTGCTTTAATGTGCTGGGAAAATTGTAGATGATATATTAATTCCCTGCTGAACTGAACACCTGCTTTTGCGCACCTTCGAACCCACACGCTCAAATTTGCTATGTTTTTTTTTGTGTGTTCCTTTCCCTTTTCAAAACAAAGAAAATTGAAACTGTTTCTTACATCAACAATCGTTTCGGCACTTTGTTAGTTAGACTTTGATGAGGTCAGTGCAATCCTACAAGCACTACATTAACGCGCGATGTTGACCAGGTCAGGTCGGGAGATGAAATTTGATAGTAGCTCCTGGTATGTTAAAACCGGTCTACTTCGCTTTTGAGACAATGTTAGAGTTTTTTTTTTTTGCAAACTACACATTTTGTTAAATCACGAGCACGTTCTCCAAGACCAACAAGCAAAATAATCGCGATGATAGCTTTGAGACACGCCATTTTGATGAAGGCAGACCATGTCAGAGCCTCTATGCATGCACATCACTTGTTCAGCGGTCGCGCATATCATTCTCATGCAAAAAAGACCCCTGTTCAAGAAACGGAGTTAAATTCGGCACCATCATATCCGACGTGTTAATCAACTGCCGAATTTAATTACTTTCATCGACTGAAATAGGTGTTCGGCACTCATGTCAGAAATCTAACGTTTGAAAGGGGCCCATGAGGTAAGTTTTAGCTTAGTGGTTTGCAGGCTGTTATTAAGTTGTTGTTTTCTTTTCAGTAATTAAGAGCAATAGATATTCGTAATTCTCTTTGTAAATCCATTTTATTAATCGGCTTGTGCCGCGACTTAAGAATCAGCTGTAATAGTTGATTTTACTTTCTCTTTGACCTGATTTGTATGTCACTGGAAATGATTTGAATATGAAAAAAAGCAATCAATGTTCATCCATCCATTTCAATAAAAGCAAATGGAATCACTGGCTCACTATAGCGGACAACCTCGAACTTTTACCGGTATCAGTTGCTAATAATAATAATAATAATAATAATAATAATAATAATAATAAGTAATGGTAACAGGACTGAGTGGAGTCCAATTCGGTCTGTAATCATACGAGTGATTAACAAAATCGGACGACCGCGTAGCGGGAGTCCGATTTGTTTAATCACGAGTATGATTACAGACCGAATTGCACGACACGAAGATCTGTTACCAATTAATCATAACTTTAATGAAATTTGTGATATAATAGGCTATTTTTTAAATCAAAACACAAGAAATTCGAAATTTTGTTTTGCTAGCAGGGGAAAAAAAAAGCCATTTAAGCGCGCGCGTGATGGCGCGTACTGTCCAACTACTTAGGCATGACGCGTACTGTCCTGTTAAGCTGTCCAATTAAGGCTGGAATCAGGGCAGTTGATAACCAATCAGATTTGGGAATTTTGTTATAGTTATGATAATAATAATAATAATAATGATAATAATAATAATAATAATAATAAATAAATAAATAAAAGGATACCCCCGCCTTTGTTTTCAGCAAACCAATGAGGCGGAAATAGAATTATTTTATAACGGTAGTTTTGATACTGTATTTGGGCCAACAATGCTGAAATTGGTACTGCATTCGGACCAATAATGCTGAAATTAATGAAAAAAGGACTAAAACAGGACTAAAACAAACGGACAGACAGGTAAACAAACAAACAAACAAACAAACAAAAAAGAACAAGGAAACCAACCAATAGCTGTCCCGATCAGTTTAAAATGGAGGCCCGATCCATCACGGTCAGCGGTTTGTTCATCCTCATTATCATCTGCGTGACATAAATTTCATAACATAACTTCATTAATATATAGATTTAGCCAGGGCTAAAAGCGAAGCTCTCGGTAATATTTATAGTTTGTTCAAACAAAATTAAAATCGTGTAATGCTAAGCGGCTAAGGCAACGCCGGAGAACAGGGCGGAATGTCGCCTGTTTTCGACTTCGGTCAGGGCTTGCGATGTGGTTTGTCCATTAGACACTGCCGCTGTCACTGAATTATGGCGGGTTGATTTGTTTTTTTTGCATTTCTTCCTCGTTCCCTTGTGCTGGTACGCTGTTTCCGAGAGGCAAATGTTGCTATTTTTTTGCGGGAGTTTTAGGGAGTAGACAAACATCTCTTTCAAAGTGTTTCTTTATTACTTCCGTGACTCTACCAATGAATTCTATTTTCGTTCTACTACTCGCCAATGTCGATGTTATTCCAAAACAAAAACAACTAAGTACTGTCTAAAACACGACGGAAAATCTCATCCATGTCATCCATGGCAAAACTAAAAGACAGCAGATGTTTCAGATCGTGTTTCATAACTAGATGACGTGTATTTTATAACTGCGTGCAGCTCGTGCAAGGTGAAATTATGCTAATTTCAATCACCATCATCCTTCTTTCTAATTTTGAAAAAACATCTCATACGTCTTTCTGTTTCTTCAAAACTTCAAAATTAGTTTCCCCTCTGTTTTTATTGTATACCTTGTTTTGTTTTGAGAGAAAAACGGAGAAAAAACCTTACAACTAACCTCAATACATTTTGTTTATGTATCGGTCAAATCGAAGCTTCAACATGCCCCCCCCCCCCCGGGCATACCCCGGGCATTTGACACCTTTGTCGTCCCGGGGAGGAGGGAATTTGATTATCAGAGTCTTCCAGGGGGTGGGGAATTTGATACCAATGCTTTAGAGGTCGGGAATTTGAACTGCACCTTCGATTTCATGTAAAATCTTTGGCGTGGCGAGCTATCATGGGGGACGCGGTGTTGGAGGATTTTCGTGGAAAAGATTGTGCCTTTGTGGCCAATTGGTTGCGAGGAAAGGGCTTAAACAAGCTTTGTGCCGTATTTGAAGTATTTAAATTTTAATATTGGATTCAGGCTTCGAATGTATGAATGTATTTTATCGTTGTGTTTACAATGAAAGACAATACCTATATCGGCCATTCAATACAACAACATAAAATAAAATAAGATAAAAAAGCTCAGGTCAACTACTTTGACCTACTGCAAGTATGTTAATTAATAAGGTGAACGATGATGCATGTCAGCGAAATGGTCATGATGTAGTAATCTCAATAGATGGGATCTTTTTTATAGAACGCTTTGTATGTTGCATGACGAAAAAAAGCTGAGCATTCAGTGACCTTGTAGCAGCGATTTCCGCCGCTTTGCACGAGACTTTTGCTCTTAGTAAATACGCTAACAGTGTTTCTCAGTTTTTGTTATATTTATAAATATTTTGTTCGACCACTGAAGGTGTTTCAGCCGTCCTTCTGTCATTTTTGTGCCTGTGAAATGTCCCCGGGGTGGGGGCATTTGATCACCTGAATGGACCCTAGTGTGGGGCATTTGAACGGCATTTTGGCCCGGGTAGGGGGGAATTTGAACAATGATTTTCAAAAAAGTCAAATGCCCGGGGGGTTGCCCGGGGGGGGGGCATGTTGAAGCTTCGATTTGACCGATACATTACATGCGGTTGCCGGATTTGCGACGCATTGCGCGAATCGCCATGGCGCGTTGCACCCGAGAAGTATAGTTTGAAGCAGTACAACGCCACTATATCAAAATATATCAATCTAACTTTTTGTTATATTGTATAAAATTTATCCCCCTTTAACATATGTAAAAATTGAGGTTAAGAAGTGTTAAGCTTTTACAAACGAAACGGCGAAAGACGATTAGGTGATAATTAGTGGAAGGAGGAGGTATTCAACACTTTGAAATTAAACTCAAATTTTGGCATCGTACGACCAACAAGATTGACTTATAGGCATACAAACACAAACATATGAAACTGTTTATCGATATTTTTATGAAAGGAATTTATCTATTTAACATTGTAGCCTGAAATTACAGAAAGAAAATAGGATTTCCGGTTTGCAAAAAGGAAAATTTCGCCGGCCTTCAAGCGCACCGGAAGCGGGGAAAGAGCGCTCGTGCCAGTCCTACTCCGCATCACACATTAAATGAAGAGCGGAGAGCTCGTTTCATCGCCCAACCTTTATCCGCCCTGCCGGAGAACGGTGAAAAAACGACAATAGGTCTAATTAGCAAAAAAGCAACTTTGCACGTGAAGCACACTTTTTTTGTACATTTCTTTGCCGTTGTTTTGCACGACTAAAACGTGAAACTTCCAGAAACTTTTTTATGGAGAAAATGTCGCAATTGTTCTTGTTCACTTTTTTTCACTGCCGCTACAAAATTTTCATGTTGTTCTTCCACCAAAAAAATGTCTCCCTTGTTTTTTATCTCTCGCTCTAGATCTCTATCGCCCTTTTTCTCGTTGAGTTTCGCTGGCCTGCCGCTTTTTCTCTCTTTCTCTGTCTTTCTCTTGCTCTATATTCCAAGTTTGTGGACATGACAATTAATCTAAGCTTAATACTTTAGACAACACAGACACAGAAACAATTTCCGCTTTCCGTTTTCGTCTTTATTGACTCTTTAGCTGCCTCTGTTTTCAAGACGCGAGTGGCTTTGCGATTTTCCGCCAAACCTCGTTGCATGTGAGTTGCCATACGCGTTGATTGAATTATTTAACATTGGTATGCCTGTGGTGTGGACGGACGGCGGTCGGTCGGTGTACGGTCACGTGATTACCAAATTTTCTCGGATGGGTAGATTACCACATTTTCTTACCCATGGTGCTCCGCTGCGCGCGCGAGAGCTCCGCTATCAATTCAGGCTAGGTTTTCTCACCAAGATATCATAATATAATTAAATAACCTTCTTACGTAAAGTAATATCTAGGTGTACTTAATCAAAGAGAATGGTTCTTGATTGGATTAACTGATACACATAATAAGTTCTTCTTTGCCTTGGGTTCACTTTCGATTTCGTTCTCTGCAGTCGCGTTTCATTATTTTAAAATTCAGGACTTTCAGTTTCTTAATAAGGGCCGAATACCTTGCACAATCAACTCTTTTCCTCAGTAATTTTATAAGGAGAAAAGATACGAAATAACTTTTATATACATCAGATTTGAAGAATTATGAGAGTCTTAAATTACTTGCCTCTGTAGTCATAGTTCGGGTCCAAGAGAAGCGCAGTGTGTTCGCTGCCACATTTTCTTAAAGCCTGTACAAAGTTTTGAAAGCCTTCATGTCTTCGTTTAAGTCGATCTACAAGGACTTCAGTTGCCCTTATAGCTCCATGGTTCGTCTGATTTGCCTTAATTTCTTCTTTATCCTCTGGTATTAGGCAAGGCAGGAAAGGGAGCAGTTCATTAGGTATCACTTCGTACTGAAACTCTTTCAGCCTTTTTTCCAGAATTTGCTTTTCGTAAGGCCTCATTTCGATTGCCTTAAAAATAACAAGCAAGCTAAACTTTCGGTGTAGAAACTAGTTTACAGAGAAAGTGATAAAAGTGCAATGTTTGGTTCTCTTATATAGGGTTTGGATGATTATTTATAGAAGTAAGATTACAAAATTAGCATTTGTAAATAGGGAAGTTTCCCGGAATTGCATATCACAATTCTCGGAAAATCGGTCACAACAACTGTTCGTTTACCTCACAAATGAAACAACTTCATGCAGTTTATCAACTTCAGTTTTTAAAAAAGCTATCAATTTAAAAATATTGAAAATTAGGCGAAATAGGATGGGATTAAAAATAACGACTATAGAGAGCAAAAGCTCCTGTTCGATTGCACTAGTTAGTGGTATGACATTGTCACCTCCGGTATCGAGCGCAGTGAATGTCATATATATAAATAAAAGGTTTCGCTTTCAGTCAAAAAGGGAAAGTTCCCCGTGGTGTCGAAACTTCAAACTTGATTAAAGTTACCCTTGAAACTGAAAGCAATAGTTACCAACCAAGCAGAAATAACCTACGAAAATATGTGTGGCCCTGCAATATCATAATATTTTTTTTCTAAGTTGTCACCCCAATTTTTTTTATGTATAAAAAACAAAACATATTGATTTTTAAATTGTACAAATTGCCGAGAGGAGAATTGGTGACAGTTTTTTTTTTCCGACAAAGTCCACGCTATATTGAATGCATTTTTTTCCTTGGCATTAAACGGAGCAGAGATCTATTTAAGTCATTTAACAATTCAGACGCATTTTTAAGAGATTAACCCATACAGGCGGAACTCGTGAACCTGTCATTATTTCATTTATTTATTATCTCTCTCTCGCCGACTGAAGTCCTAAGAAAGCAACAGGCCCAGACAAGATTCCTGCCAATCTGCTTAAGGTTTGCGCACCCCACAATTTACTCCTCTTTGTGTGCCCTCTTCAACAAGTGCTTGCTTTTGGGAAAAATGCCATCCTCCTCGAAAGAGTCTAACATTGTCCCAATATTAAAAGGCGGCACTGTGAAGGAGGTATAAAACTACAGACCCATCTCACTTTTGCCTCTTGTCTCAAAAGTTCTCGAACGCTGCATTTACAACAGAGTTATCGACCATATCGCTCCCAGGCTTCACAAGTTGCAGTTCGGGATTTTGAAGGGCAAATCCACCACGGCCCAGTTACTTCAAATCCTGCACAACATAGGCGAAAAGCTTGATAAGAGAGTGCAGGTTGATACTATCTATCTTGACTTCGCTAAAGCCTTCGACAGCGCTAACCACAAACTACTGCTCAAGAAGATCCACCGATTCGGCATCTGCGGTACTGTGTTGTCTTGGTTCGAAGACTAAGGAACTTAAGAACCAAGAGGACGACTTCGTCGACGACGACCGGAAGTGAGTTACAGTGCACCGCGCCAGCGCGACCAGTAAATTTCGTCGTCGTGGTGTCGTCGACGACGCCAAACAAAGTAGAATCACATCGTCTTGCAATTCACAAGCTTCGGCAGGTATAAATCCACCGTTTTAAGCGATTTTCATTTTCTTATCCTCGTAAATCCAGGTATCGTTCCTTTTTTCTCCTAACAAGCGATGTTGATTGAAAATTCGACTAATGAATTGTTTTTACTTCGAAGAATGACAACAGCGGTGGAGGCCGAGCGAGCGAACTCGTAAGTGATAAATTTATTTGTACGTAGTAAGGTAAGGCAAATCATATATCTTTAATATAGAGGAAATAAACTTTATATGGAAAACAGCTATCACATCAGAATGTCTCCCTTTCCGAATCTCAACTCTGACAGACACTCGGACTCGGTCATCTCATTCAGGTTGAAAGTTGAATAATCTTCGTACGCAAAGCACGTGTTTTTCTACTCGAAAAGGTCAGACAACGCAAAAAAATCTTCATCGTCAATGAAATTAGACGTACGGCTTAAAAAAATACGATCTTGCATTGTTTTAAAAGACGCCATTGCGAAAAGCTTTGTTGCGAACGAACATCACAGTTTTACATTTGTGTTTACATTTAGTGTCGTCGTCGTCGACCTACCGACCGACTGCATCTTAGGTTTCCTTTTTCCCGCCGAAACTGACGTTCTTGTTTCAGTCTTTTCTCAGTCAACAGACGTCGTCGTGGTTCTTAAGTTCCCTACTATCTTACTGACCGCGTCCAAAGGGTCACCGTTGTCGGGGTCAACTCTAAATCTCTCCATGTGTTATCAGGTGTGCCGCAAGGATCGATACTTGGTCCATTCTTTTTCCTCATATATGTAAATGATCTTCCTGACACCGGGTGGCGTCCTCAAAATCTGCTGCTCTCTTTGCTGACGACACGAAGTGCTACCGGTCAATCGAAAGCATGGAGGATGGTGCCTCGACCACATTAACCAATGGTGTGATCTCTGCATGGCAAGTCGATCTAAATCAATCCAAGTGCGGGCTACTTTCTATTACCAGAAATGCTACAACCAGTTGCAAAAATGTTAAGACACTCCCACGAAAAAACGACCTTTCTTGCTTCAAATCGCTCCTGATAACAGGTCTGTGAGATATAATACTGACTCCCTCCTCCCTTTCATTCAAAGTTGTTCCTCCAAGTTTTGAGTATGGCCTTGTATTGCTAGCAACTTTGATAAGGGGTGGCGGGGGGGACACAAGCACAAGATCATGGACAGGCCATTTATGGCAAAATACGGTAGTGTCTCAAGTACTTTTGCAACTGGTTGTAGCCCATTTCACTTCCCCTATCAATTATCCGATGTCCAAATTAAGACGAGTGAAGCTCAGAAGTACCTTAGGGTTTTAGGTACTTTTTTTGAATAACATCTTAAATGGAACTCCCATGGCCAAGTGTTGGCAGCTTGTTCAAAGGCTAATATAGGATGCTTGGCTTCCTCCGGAGATCTGCTTTCGACTCCCATGACCAGTGAGCTCGCAAGTAACTTTACCTGCCACTAGTTCGCAGCAACCTCGCATATTGCTCGCAGGTGTGGGTTCCTCAAGCTGTAATCTTATCATTGACATCAAAAGAATTCAGCGGGGCGCAACAAAATTCATTCTGTCTATGCCGTTTCGGTCTGAGGTTAGTTATAAGCAGAGGCTTTTGAAAATTGGGCTACTACCATTATGTTATTGGCACGAATTTTTAGACTTGGCTTGACTGTTAATCAGTTTATAACTAGGAATAGTCCATCTTAAACCATTTTTAATGCATGTAAAAAATTTTCCCAAAATTACGATGTGCTTAATAGTTAGGTTGTTTATATTTGTACATGCATGATTCACATTTTGTCTGCTTTGTATTTTTTAATAGTTTGTCGAACGTCTTTAACACGAGCCTATGGCTCGGAAGATTGTGCAAACAGTTCCCACATCTTCGATATTAAATAAATTATTCTATTCCGATTCTACTTGGTGTACATATTCAAGTGTTTAGTTAGTCTATCGGATCCTTTTATTTCAGTCATGAATTCCACGTGACCCTGGCGCACTGTCTCCTCCAAGGGCACGCTGTTAAATACAATTAGGGCCAACACCGTCACCTTTGAGAACATGCAGTTTTTACAGCAGAGCCCCAAGAATCTGGAAACTTTACCAGAGTAAGGGAAAAGGGCAGTACATCCAACTTCCGGTCATGGGAAAGGTATGAACTTGAAGGTTGAGGTCGACTGGAGAGACTGAAAAAAGGGAAATAAGTGCATGAGAACGGTCACAAATATTAAAAGTGTGTCTATAATACCGCCTTTTTCTCTCCTAACGACTCTATATTTGATTTACAGGTAAAGATGCTTCAATGTTTCAACTTAGCTTGGTTTTGCGATAAATCAAGCCAGACAAAATTAAGCCACATCAGAAGAGATTAAACCCTGATCGCATCGAATTGCCGATTTTAAGTAGTTACCGTACGTCGTCTCCGTTAGCCTTGCAGGATCTTTAACTTTTTAACTTTAACTTTATTATTCCATCGCTCATATAGTACAAACTCAGTAAAGCCAAAAGCGGGGACTTATACGGCCTGTGGTCAGAATGACAGAAATTATTTTATATAGAAATGAAGACTGTAGGCTAAACTACAAAGCTAAAACAAGATACAAAACTGAAATTAAATACGTTTACATGCATGCAGTCCTATAACAGTCCTACAACAGTCCATAACTAGTGACAAATAAACCAACAATAAGCTATGAGAATCCTGCGCTAGTTCAAATTTAGGCTTAAAAAGTGAAGTTTTAGTTTCTTTTTGAACTTACTAGTGGTAAGGCTGTGACGAACAGTCAAGGGAATATCGTTCCAAATAGTCGGGGCTTGACAACTAATCGCAAATTGATACCTGAGGGACATTTTAAGGAAGTTGAAACGAGAACGAGTTAGATAATCATGAAAATCACGATTAAAGTGGAGGAGGGAGGAAAGAGAGGCAGGCAAAAGGTGATTAAAGTGTGAGAATACATGAGGTCGCATGATTTCCACAAAGACTGATTCGTACAAGGAATTGTCAGAAGATTGAAGATCAATCCTAGGCTTAAAATTCATATCAGACTGAATGTAAAGACCAACTCCACCACCTAATTTATGTTCTCTTGAATTGGAGATAAAATGGTAGCCAGGAATATTAAAGAGATCAGAATTAGACTTATGTAACCAGGTTTTACAAACGGCAACAACAGAGAACAACATATTAAGGATAGTTTTATTCATTTAGTAACTTGAAATTCTGTAATTTCACAGTTTTCTCTGAAGTATCTACCTACAGCACTCAAAAAGCGCAAAAAAAAAAACAAAAAAACAAAACAAAACAAAAACAATAGCCAATAGCAGCAATACGTTTTGACCTTAATAAAAAAAAAGAGACTGAATATTTTCAGTGAATTCATGAGAATTTTTCATGTTACTATAACTGCACTATTAAAACCGGAGGCTGGCATTACTTTTCGCTGTATGATATCACTATATAGTCACCATATAATATTTTAAAAAATAAGCATAATTCAGTTGTTCATATTAGTGCTATGTGTATATATAGGAAGTCTGTGTTTCGATTTTTCCGTACTAGAGTGCTCCATACGTTAAAGTAGAGCGTGATATAAATATTGGAAATAGGAAAAAAAAAGTACACTTTCATCCCGACAAGCCTGTTTCGTGATCGCTCATCCTGAAGAGTGAGCGATCACGAAACAGGGTTGTCGGGATGAAAGTGTAGTTTTTTTTCCTATTTCCAATATTTATATGTATATATATATTATATTTCTCATCCTCCACCTACCTTCTCCTCCCGGAACAAGAAGATCCGCTAAATGTCCACAGCTTGTCCATCTCAGCGCGTCAACTAGCTCTTGAAAGCCATTGGTTCGTCTCTGAATTCGATCCAAAGTAGTCATTTTCTATTTTACTAAATAATATTTGTACATTGTGACTGAGCACGTAAATATATTTATATTTTACGGGTGAAACTTAATTCATTGCAGTTAAGAATTCAATTAATAAACCCAAGTAAATGGCATGAAAACCAGCCCTTCGTGGTTTTCAAATATTTAGTCAATATTAAGGCTGAAACCTGTCGAAATTTGATATACCGATACAATCGAAGGGAAAACGTTTTGTGTTCCGGTGAATCTCTCCTACCGAGGATAACTGAATTCAGTTGCATGCCCCTACATTATACGCACGTCATTACATAGGTAAAAAGGTCTTTTAATACCATGATGTAATCAGGTATTATATATAATTTATTTAGCCTTCCGCATTAAAAAGTATACAATTACCTCATAAATACCGTATCATTTTAGATCGCTTTTTTCCCTTTTTTTTTTCTTTTCTTTTAATTTCTTTTCTTCTTCTTCTTTCCTATTTTTTTTTTTTGGCAAAAGAAATGTTACACGAACATGTAGCTTGATCCCCCCTTGAGCTTGTGAGATATCGTGATCGCAAAAGCACGAAATGTTATAGCACTACAGTTTATAACACGCGTGTAACCTTGACGTGTTTTGAGATCATGTGCTTTGTGTTTTGGCTCACGTTGGAATTCGAAGAAAAAATGTGAGTCGCCGAAATTAAAATTGTTCGTTATAGGTCAATAAAAGAGCTTTTGTTTTAACTGAGAATTTCGCCCAGCGTCAATAGTCTGAATAATAATAACAAAAAACCTTCGCGTGCTCTTGTTTTGGCGAGTATGCAAATGAGAAACTACATTTTTATTTGGCCCTACGTCTGCATCCGCGGATGTAGCTCATTGGGAAAAGTTATGTTAGCTTGTACACATTTGAGGTATGTTACAAGTATTTCGGTGTTTCTAATTCTTAAGATTCTAGGCCACACGAAGTGAAAATGGCAAAAATATGAAATGACCGAAAAATATCAGTTATGTTATTAATAGACCTCTTTAGCTTGAATGTTTTGTTTCCCCAATACAGGTCACGTGCTAATACTCTAGGGAACCGATTCTTTCAAATTTCGTCTTATTCACGTGCATATCTACGCATAATTTCTGAAAGGACAATGGATCAAGTTCCCCAGAGACCTATATTGGGAAAACAAAACATACAAGCTAAAGAGATTTATTGTTAAGCTTCCAGAATGTACATTTAGGTTTTCTTATTTTCTGTATTGTTGTTGGTGATTTGTCCATGTTCATCTTCATCGCTCTTTTCAACTTCAATAAAATACTCCTGGGAATCACTATCTAAAACCCTCTTCACTGTCTCTCCTTTTTCAGCAAGTATGTCCTCAATATTCCTACAAAATAAATAGAAAATGTATTTTGTGAAATGGGGACGTTATAGGCAATTTAATCATAAATGCATGTACAACTGATTTACATGTACATACAGCAAAAAGGGTCAACAGTGTATGGTTACATGTAAAAAAAGTCAAAACACATTTTAACTAACTGAGAGAGATTGTTCAATTGGATTTCTTGGGACAGTCAAAACCAGAATGAAGCGACAGTACTAAAATGCTAGAAATGTGAATATTTACAAAACTAACCTGCTTTTAAAAAGATACTCTTATTTAGGATCTGTTCACTGCAGATTTTAAAGCATTTTAACGTTATTGTTATCGAGTCTGGCAGGTGTAATAGTTTTCTGATTTTGTGTCTAAATTTATCAGAAATGTTTTAATCTGCACACACACCAAAAGTCATGTACACAGAAAAAAACAAAAACAAAAACAAAAACAAAACAAAAAAACAAATTAGTGATTTTTTACCTGCAGTTCAAGTTTGTTAGCTTACAAAAAAGGAATCAATAACTTGTTGAACAATATAATTACATTCAGAGTGTGCTTTTCACCAGCCCTATAAAGGTGAATATTATAAAATCTTTTCCTGTTGATTTTTTTCCAAAAAGTGCCTGATAAGAATTTCAGGGCACTTGGGGTTGTACACTGTAGCACGAGAATGTTTTCAAGGGTCTGGGATATGCCCAACCCCATAGATTGTTTATTGTAAATGCTACCTCTTTGTTGACAAGCCATCATTTGATACGCAAAATTTAAAATATATGGGGTTGGCCAATTTTCTGGGAGGCTTTTTGTGTGCTACCAATGGGCCTTGGTAAAAGTCTTATTTTATCAACTGTTTGTTTTTGGGAAGAACAATATTACACTCATAACTATCATAGAGGACATGATATTCAGACTTTCTGTCCAATTATTGAGTGTCAAGTTTTATTGTACAGTGTGAACTGTAGTTTAAAAATAAAATCACACATTCTGCTGTTGTCTGAAGTACTCAGCTTTGTTGGTTTTCCTCCCTTACCAAGGAGCAAGCACAGATTACATTGGTTTTTTAAGTAATTCCTCTAATTTCTGACCATTTGGAAAACTGCTACATTGTATATTTTTCAGAAGATATATTTTTAAGTACCAAATATGCTGTTCACAAAAATAATCCATGTACATGAAAGCATTATCTGGCAAAATCAATAACTGATTATAAAAATTCCACAACTTTTCACAACAACATGACTTTGTAGGGTTATAAGAGAGGATAACCCCTATCTTTGTGTTTTCTGAGACATCAAAATGTACTTCATTGATAAATTTTTGCACTACATGAAGCATAACAGATTGCTAAAACCCTGTGAATAATTATTACGCCTGACTAACAGAAGATCCATGAAGTAACTTTGATGCCAATATATCATGTGCAGTCTGACTCAGTATCAGGATGATGTTCCATCCATACAACAAGACTGATCACATGCAGCAGCAGCAAATTTAATTTTCAGAGGAGATCTTTTGTGTTGATGTATACTGTACATGTACTGTACATTTGACAGAGTGGAGATTCTTCTGATAAGTTGGGACATCATATTACAAAGTGCACAAAGAAATACTTCACCACAAACAATTAGTATAAGACTTAGTAACAGCATGATGTGATGTTTCGCATAAATACCACGAGTGATATTTCGAAAATGTTATATGTAATTTCACATGTACAAGCCATAAGGCGAGTGAAATTTGAGACAATTTTGAAATATCACAAGTGGTATTCATACCAAATATCACCTACAAATCATGCTATTATTTGTTTATACTACTACCACAAAAGGTTTGTAATTTTCACATGCAGGTAATTCAAATTAAGCTGAAATACCACTGCTCTAAGCCAATCAAATTGCAGAAATTTCTCATGTAGTATAAAGCCTATCATTTTCTGTAATACAATCCATGTATACAGTTCTTGTATTCTGGCTTCGATACAGAATGGGCCACATAAGTGATGCTTGGTCTTGCAGTGGAAAGTTTTGTTTGGCCCATTGCTATAATTGTCTATACATACCAACCGAAAATTGTCAAAAGTTGTAGCAAAAATAATGTTAAAAACGATGCCATGAAAACACCAGTTCTGCTGATAATTATAAAAAAGAACAAGTTTTGCAAATTACTCTTACCTTTTGTCATTGAAAAACCATCCTAGGTTATCAGCTATCAAGTGATTATTGTTACAGCCAGGGCATTTGACGATAACCACTCCTTTAGTATAAGCTTGTTTACTGATAACCTTCCTTGATCGTGTGTCGCATACTTTGCACGTAAAAACAAGTTGAAACTTGGAACTCTGTTCAATCAAGCCCAGTTTAGAGGCATTATTCCGTGCGTCACCGCAAAGAGATCTTTTACAATATGAGATTATTCTAGTTTGTGGTAAATAACTTGTAGAACGAAAAATGCTGTTTACTAAAAGATGACGGGAAAAGTGTCGATAAAAGCAACGTGACACTCGACACGCAACAATCACCGCCATCTTATGAAGAGCAGTTTACTCGTCGTGTATACTGGTCCTGAAATTTACTTTACCGCTGAATTAAACGCGGGCGTCCAGTACATTTGTACATGATGGCAGTTAGGTCCAGAACTGTGCTGGAACGAGTGTTTTTTGTTTATTCAGGGATATTAAATACATCAAAGCCGTTCAAATTTATCTGCCAAAGGAACTTAAGTCAAGCCCAAGCCACCAACGCAAAGAAATTACGGGCAATGGTAAATGTTTTGTAGTGTTTGTACTGTTATGTCGCTGACAGTTTCAGCTGATCAGCAAGTAATTTTAGCTCAATTATTAAGATGAGTAAGTTAAAGTACAATCAAAGAGAATTTTTAAAACATTGATTTATAATTAAATTTGTTATTATCGATTTTATCGATTTCTGTATTTAAACGATTGATTTTATCGATTAATTTTTGATCGAAAAATATAGAAAACATAAAAAACATAACCACTCAATAAGTCAACATACGTCAGTATACCGCCTGTTACGGTTCAGCTTCGAATGGAAAAAAAAAGAGTGACTCTAGGCAATTTTGTGATTATCAATTTTTATCAATTATTACAACTAATCAATCGACAAATATCAAGTGTTATCGAGTACTATCGATTAATCAATTGCATTTTTGATGATCAATTTCGATCGATTTGTGATGTGCTGTAAATAATAACGTAGGGGCCCTGCTTGCCCAGGATACTCCTTACAAACTGTAGACCTGCCACTGCTGTTCACTGACTGTCATGATAATTCACATCAAAGATCAGGACTTATATAATAAATTTATGAGCAAGTCACAAAACCACAACCTAAATGCAATTATTTCTGGTGCATAGTTTAAACGCTGCTTACCTTAGCAAATAATTATCATTACAAGTGTACCTCTAATTGTTACCCATCCTTAAACTTTTGCCAGTTTTTATGGTAGTCTGTTGCTATTTATTAGAAATCTTCTTGATAAACTTCTGTTGGATTTCTCAGCCTTAATGAAAGGTACACTGGAACTGGTCAAGTCACCTGCAGTTATGTCACCTGATACCAAAGTTAAGTTGCCCAAAATGCTGAGTGGACATGTCGCCTGAATTTTTACAGGTGATAGTGCACAGAGAAACAAAGTTATTTTTTGTTGAATAAAGAGTGTCAGTATCTTGTTCTTTAAACCACAAGGAGACAAAACAAGGGAAATGAATGTGTAACATACGTTATTCTTGAAAGGATGATGAGACGAAACAAGCAGTTTAAATGTGTAATATATCTCACACTTGAACCATTGATGAGCAATGAAACAAGGGTCAGTTCAATGAGTACTGTATCACATTCTTTAATCTTCAATGGTACAGAACAAGTGCAATAAATGTGTAATAAGGATGCAAGGATGTTTTTCAGTAAGATGAAATTTCCAGCCACATATTCAGCATTTCAGGTGACTTGACTAAACATTTTGGGTGACATAACTCTGATTTCAGATGACATAACTTTAGGCGAGATAACTTTTGGGCAACTTGACCATAAACCTAATGAAATTTTGTGTCACTGAGTTTTTCTCTGTTTTTTCTGCAGGTTGTTGGTTTAGGTAACTACACCCTGCCTAATACAAGGCACAGTGTAGGGATGCTTGTAGTTGACTGTCTAAGCCAACAGCTGGGCGCATCTTGGCAATTTAACAGAAGATCACTGGGTCATGTGGCTGTAACAAAAGTAAATAATCGTCAGTTAATAATGTTGAAACCTACTCTGGCAATGAATGTAAATGGCAAAAGCATTTCAAGGACCGGTGTGTACTTACCGATAATAATGATATTATAATAATAATACTGTGAAAGGTTTGTACCCAGCAGTCATTTTGTGGGTGAAACATGATTGTCCGGGTGAAGGTAGTCCTGAATAGGAGTGTTGTTGCCTGTTGACAGTGACTGACGTTTTGACAACCAGTGCTGTAGTCATCTTCAGAGTGAAAGTGAGTTGTCTCACGTCCGTTGATAGTATTAAACTCTGGTTATTGACCTGATTGGTCAATTAAGTCATGATGTTATTGGTCGTTTGTTAATTAAGCCATGAAGAACATTAATTTGGCTATGAATACTGGTTGGCTATGAATACTGGTTATTGGTGCATTTTGATATGCCTATTGTCACAGTTAAACAGTTGTTTATTGTTATTCAAATTGTCAGTTGTCATGTTATTCTCTTGTAGTTGGTTTTGCTTGGTTCTGTCTGTAAGTCGTTTCTACAGTGCCGGTAACTATTGACTACGATTCAGAATACGTTGTATATGTCGCGGAGACCAGTCGCTTTGGTGTTTTGTCTGTAATAATTATAACAGTGTGTATATATATTATTTTTTCCAGCTGCAATGTTTAATGTGAATCCCTGCAATGTTATTCTTGTGCATGATGACCTTGATAAGCCTGTTGGGAAATTCAGTTTAAAACATGGAGGTAGTGCAGGGTAAGTACATTACATGTAGTACATGTATATTTCAGCCTGCAGACTATTCATTTGTAAGTACATTGGAACCCAGCCTGCATTATAGACACCTGTATATGCTGTAATGAACAGCTTTTTGTCCCAAGTGTCAACCCTGCTTTACAGACACTGCTTATCTACGCTCTGTCTATGATTGAATATCTTACCATCGAAAACCCAACAGAAACAGCTAAATAATGTCCTGTCAAGGGTTCCGTCATGTTAAATGTCTAATGTTCAGTCCACTTGGTTGAGTGGAAAACGAAAAGCCTCAGTACAAAGTTAGTTACAGATTCCATTGTTGTACTTCAAGAACCATTCTTGAAAGGTAGCTATATTCTAGACTAGTTTCTTTAGGATGGACTTGTAACAGCCTCTGCTAAGAAATTAAACAACATTTTCTCTTAAAATTTCTGTTTTAGTCTCCAGATTGATAAAGTATATGCCCTCAGCATGCTTTGCTAAGCTTTGCTGGTTAACCTTGGCAGGATTAGCTCAGTTGGTAGAGCGTTTGACTGCAGAGTGGAAGCTAGGTCGCAGGTTCGATTCCCAGGGCCGGGCCATTACTCAGGGTCTTAAAATGACTGAGAAATGAAGGTACTTCCTTTGCACTGCAAGCGGTGAGACCTTCGCGTGGCTTGGATGACCATGTAAAATGGTGGTCCTTTCTCCATTAGGAGACGTAAAATATAGTGTCCCCAATTAGCATTTACGTGCTAAATACATTGACACTCAAATAAAAAAAAAGTGCAAGTGCAAGTCGTGTTCGATAGCCCGAGACAAGTCAGTGGAATTTGCTATCGGGCTAGTGTTTTTTGTTCTTAACTTGCCCGATGGGCAAGTGCTGTTTTTTGGGGAAGTTCAAATGACAGAAGGATTGTAATCATTCCTGCTAATCAAAAAGGGTTTTGGGGCTAGTTGAAATGACTTGTGGGCTTGTACATGCTATTCTAGCTACAGCTTGCCTGAATGGCAGGCTGTGAAACTCAGACTTTCTTTGCACCCTGTGCCCCTGATGTTTTTATTTTTTCTGAGAGCCTGCTGTTTAATACAGAGACCTGTATGATATGGACAGGCATTTCCCCTTGGTTTCAATGTATTTATTAAGTTATTCATAATACGATCATAGTTGACTACCAGAAACACTTGAATGCACATAGTACTGTCATACTACAATGCAAGCTGTGTGTATGCTAACTTTACAAAAAAAAAAAAAAAAAAAGAATTTGACCTTAAATTAAAATTATATGTATGTATCTTAAAAACTAGTGTGCAAATTTATCTTGGACATAAAAATATTAAGATTTTCTTTGACTGTCTATAATAGCCGTGTACTGTTCTGAATGCTTAATGAGGTCTCATGATTTTATTAACCTAGGCTTTACTACTAGACAGAGTTCCATGATGGTGAGATTATTCATCAATCATTCTAACTTTTGAATCTATAGACAGAAACTTATTCAAATGTAACTGTTTCAGCAAAATGTTTACATAGATCAAACGAACTATTATTATGGGCGGAAGGGTTTTTATCTGGTTCCAGAATAAAACAACTATTGACCCAACTCTGCAACACAGTTCAATGTACATGTCAGTGGGGGAGGGGGTGATAAGTTGTGCTCTCTTGCAACCTTTCACATTCGTGTTTACTCAATGTGGATGACACCAATTTTTTTTCATATTATTTATTTTTAACACCCGCCATGTGAAATGGAGACTGTCCCGTACCTTACATGTAGCTTTCTAAGAGTTCAAATCTTTTACCATTTATTGTTCTTTTTTCAGAGGACACAATGGTGTTAGATCAGCAATTGCGTCACTGGGATGTGATGTAAGATATATTGATAATAATGTTATTGTTATTGTGGATCAAGAGGAGCCCACAGACTATTCTTGGTCAGCAGCACTTTGTAAAGTTATGGTGTGGTTTTTCCAAAATCTGTCCTCATTCTTGAGATGCCCATGTTTTGTATACTACTATGTGTGGTATGCGGCTGTGAAAGGCCCTGGTGTATAATCTAAGGTCCAGTTGATTCATGGTAATCACATTAATTCTAATGCAAGACAGTGCTGCAATAATATTAATTTGATTCCGCAAAAATGCACGTATTAAATTCAGGTATGCCCGTTATTGTACTAGATACAAGACTTCTCTATTCATCTTGCCGGCCAGAAACCTGCACCAAGGGAAATAAATTAGAGCTTGATCGCAGCTTAGTGCAGGACGAGTCTTCAATGATTTTTATATTTACTTATTTATTTACCCTTACAATTTGCTTGTTGATTTCAGACCCCAAAAAGGGTGCGAGTAGGAATAGGAAGACCTAATGACAGACATCATGTGACAGCGTATGTCCTGAGCAGTTTTGAACCATCAGAGATCCCAGTTATACAGGACACAATTGAACAGTGCTGCAAGGTCCTCATGAATGAGCTCCAATCATTAATGAGCCAAAGCAGTGACTGTCAAGATATAGGGCCTCCCAATAAAGACACTGTTCAGTATCAACTACAGCTATGAATAAACCACAAAAAATGTAAAAAAAAAGTTAAATTTATTGCAGAAGGTCAGAAGTTTTCCTGCTTACAAAGATAATCATTTTTAGAGTGATATTGTAAATATTCTTTAAGAGGGTGTTGAATTTTGCTCAGTTTTATGTTAAACACATGGATTGAGTCTACAGTAGATTTTCAGCGTTAGCCTCATTTGTCTATATGGTGGCTGACAGGGTTTTTTTTTATCTGAATGTTATCTCTGTTCTTCATTCCGTGCCAGTATTCTTAAGACCGTCTCAATCTGGCAGCTCGTATGCCAACATGCCAAGGGTGGGAAGTTAACGCGCGGTTCAAGCAAATTCATGCCCTACTGTGATACAGGAGCTGGAGAGGAGAAGTGCATCCTCCAGACATGTATGCAAACTTTATGCTACCAGTTCTTGTGGCCCAGATCGTAACAGGAAATCACTAGAAAGTAGGTTGAGTATGCATGATCGTCCGGGTGAACGTAGTCCTGAATAGGACTGTTGTTGACAGTGACTGACGTTTGGACAACCCGTGCGATAGTAACCGACGTGATACAACTTACTTTGACTCTGCAGATGACTACCGCACTTGTTGTCGAAACGTCAGTCACTGTCAACAACAGGACGATCATACTCCACCTATACTTATGAAATGACTCCTGGGTTAAAAGCTTTCACAGGAAATCATTAGTGTTTACAATACTCATAACAAACAATTCCATTTCATTTCATTTAAGTCATTTTCAATAAGAGCCCGGGGAAAGGACAAGAGGGAAGATAAGAACTAAACGAGCTAGACTACGTAATGTAAAAATAACTTGCGATGAATGAAAAGAAAGAAAGAAAAAAATATCTCAGAAAAAGTAACATATATAAACTGTTACTTAATATGATAAAACCCTTGATGCTATGCCCAAGCAACATGCGGGTGATCAGCTCTAAACATTCCCTAACCTTATTCTTACAATACTCTCTGCAAATGATAATGCTGGTGGTGGTCGTGATGATGATGATGATGATGATGATGGGTTTGATTGATGAACAAAAAAAAGCGATAACGATGATGATGATGACGACGACTACAACGACGACGACGATGATGATCTTTCCCAAAATTTTAGTTCCCTTTCAACTTTCGGTCCTTAAAGTAAAAGACGTCTATGAAAAGCAAGCGCGCTGTTCACGTGAAACACGCTCATAGACGCGCAGTAAAATATATCCTACTTCATTTACTACCAAATTTTCTCATTTTTCCAATGAATTTGCTACTAAAGCAACAACAACAACAACTGCTAATACTAATACTACTATTTGTTGCATCGTTTACATCGGAAAAGTGGAAACCATTGGTTTGCTTGAAAGAGAGAAACTCGAGTTGTAAAAGCTACTGAAGACTGTTGCTGATCCTAGAGTGTACTGCAGGATAAGCGTAAAACACGGGAATGGCCTGAATGCTAATGACAGAGGTAACCAAGGAGGTTACTTTCTGTTATTAGAGTGTAAACCAAGATAAGCGTGATACACGGGTATTCATTATTTTCATAGCCTTCGAGCAAGCTCTCCGGGGCGCTCTGGCGGCGGGACTGGAAAAGGAATGGAATTTGAATTCCACCTCCAATCTCCCTGTGGCTCCCCGTCGACTCAGCTGTGAGATTTCCGCCAATCAACTCGAAGTGGAAACGAGCGCGAATGTAAAAAAACATTGAAAAGCACGTGCCAATGGTAATGACTTCATTACTAATGTCATCTCCGTCAATCAGCATTTCGCATCGACTTTGTCGATGCAGATATTCAATTTCCAGAAACGTAGTTGCAAGCTCTCCTTCCTTTTCCCGCCCCGCCGCCAGAGTGGCCCGGAGAGCTTGCTCGCAGGCTATTATTTTTTACCGAGACCATAGTGAGCCTCTCCACCTCCCCCCCCCCCCTCCAACAGAAAAAAAAAAAAAAGAAAATTACATAACCATTGTTTTCACTTTCTCCTGGGTATTACAGTCGTGCCAAGAGAAATCGAAGACGGTGGTCATGCAGAATTTTGGGAGTAAACAAGGTGCATTATGGACTCGGTGAAATTGCGGTTGGTCTCAATTAATTAACTTGAATCATAACCCGGCGCGAGCAACTCCCATACTATACCTATGTCATGGCGTTTTTACGGACCCGTTTATTTTTAGACAGATTTTAGGGCACTTTTTCCCGCGAAAATATAGAATCCACACCAGGAAAACTAAACGTTATTTAGAGACCATAAAAAAATTAGGTCTTAAGGTTTTGCTGACTGGTTTGTGGAATTTAAAAGATATTCAAAATTCGCGCCACTGAAAACCGTCCAAAAAATAAACTGGTCCGTGAAACGCCGTGATACGAGCCCATGGAAGTTGCTCGCCCCGCGTTCTGGGCTCGTGCTTAAATAAAAATAATAATAATAAAACGAAAATCTAAAATAAAACAAAATAATTATTGTTTTTACGTTCAAAAACAATGAAAAATTCCAACAGGCAAATGCGACAGCTCTACGCGTATGTTGCAAATGAATCCACCCTTGGGGGTACCCCAGGTAGGTGAGATAACCCGCTTCAGTGGGGTAACCCCCCTGTCCATAAAATCTCTCATTTTAATTTGATCACGTTTACATAATAGGTGGGGGTGACCCGCCACATGTTACCTAACCTATCTGGGGTCCCCCAGCCACTTGTAAACAGGCCCTTAGTTAAAACTTAACTCGCTGTACACTTTAACACAGGGACGGGGGGATGGGGGGAGGATAACTCTAAGCCCACTCCCACTCCGCCTGCCAGTATGACGTCACATAGTATTAAACTCGCAGGAGCCTCGGGTCGCTTGTACAAATTAGCAAGGGATACGACAGTTATTTGGACGAGTGAGGTCGTGGAAAAGTTAAGAAGCTAGCAAATACCGCTATATTTCGCTTATTTGATCGAATGTGTGTGAGCTTTGGTGTTGCTATAATCTGCTTGTGTAAACCGTTTTGATATTTTGTGTCCATGATTGTATAATTTTGTTGATTTGTTTTTCGGGCCGTGTTGCAGCATCGCCATCTATTTCATGGGACCGGCAAGGTCATCAAAACTTTAATCTTTTTTTTTTCTCTAAAATAGGCAAGGTCTAGTCTCCAGAATAGGAGGTTCCATTCACAGATCACGCTTGTGTATATTTCATCTATTCTTTTGCTAATTAAATGGGCCTAACTTCATATCATTCCTTTCGAGTGTGGGCCTCTGTTGATCTCCTAATTCTCTACCAAATTCAGTAAAGCCAGTTCGATCGATTATCTACATCGAGTCGGCCCGTTGAACCCGAAATAATGCGAAATAGCTTTGAAATAGGCCCTTAAGCTAATTTTCCTCAAATGTATATTTGAATTCACGATAAATACAGCTCTACCAGCTTCAAACAGCGTCTATGGCAGAGAAAAATTGTTTTGACTCATGCAAGTTAAGGCATGGGTTGAAAGGCTGAAAAGACCCGCCCCTCACAGAGAATGCAAAGATCCTCTTTAATGACACAGAAGGATCCAAGTAAAGCGTTCCACAAAGATATGTTGAGACATATCTCACTAAAATAGTTTTGGAAAATTCATCCCAAGCATCACGTGACATTCCTTGGACCATCACGTCACAAAATCTGTTTTCTCAAACGGGGCAAGGTTGTTAAACTTCAGCATAAAAATACTTGTCATTAAATTGTCAGGAAAACTGTCTGGATTGTCAATTAGCCTTGCAAGGTGGATTAAAGTATTTTTGTTAAGAGTTATTAAAGTATTTTATAAGTCACCTGACCCGTTTTTCCTTATTTCGTAATCCTTGCTCCACTTAGGCATACATGCAGGGCTATTTCACCAACCATGAAGTAATCTTTATGTTATTGGTGAGCCGATGGACAGTGGGTAGATTGGAACATGGGGAATTGCAGATACCGCAAAATTCTGAGCGGAGAAAAACAATTTGCGGCTGCGGTTGAAATATTTGGTGTGACGTGGGCTGTTCCCTCCGGGATCCGGTTCAAAATTGTAAACAGCTTGGTGGTCAGGATCATATAACACGGAACTCTCATTTGGCTTTGGATAATTTGCTTCGGTGTTCTCAGCCACATTTTCCAAACATTTCTGGGTACTGTTGCCACAAAGCACAGGGATTTAGTTGTCTTGAGAAGAAGACAGCAAAACTAGGCACTGACTAGGTGATAGCCCTACTGGACGTTTGGCCCTGGCTAATTTTAAAAGATTACAGACTGCCTTCGACCTATCTTTCAATAGTGTTATTACTAAAAATAGGTTTTGTCACCCTAGTCCCCCTGCGTGACTTAGACAAACTTTGCATTCTACTCAGGGGCACCCAACGAGGATATAGTTCAAAACCACTAAAGCATAGCATTGTTGAACGTATTTTAGTATTCAAACGGTAGATATGGGCATATTTTTATCCCCTAAAAACTTTTCATCTGTTCGGATTTCCTAGCTGAAAGTCTAGTGATCCGAAGATTATAGGGATAAAAACTTACCTTCTCGAAAATTTCAGCCAGGAAAAGGCTCCCGAAAATTCTAGGTGGCCTTTTTTAGGGTCAAAATCCGTTAAAAATGGGTAATTATACCATTTTGTAGATGTTCGAAAATCCTAGGAGAGGTAGGCAAGCAATAAATTTTACAACAAATGCTCCGAAAATTCTAGATCTCAAATCGTCTTCCGAACAGATATTTTCCCGAAAATTGCCGTTGGGTGCCCCTGTCTACTCCATGGCTTTGTAGGAGCAACATGCTTTTCGGACATGAACATTGTTCATAAAACTCGCACGGAGCGTTTTTAAAATGTTTTTTTTTTTTCGCTTTATTCTAGTATATAAAAGGTACTAATGCTATAGGGACCAAAACCTGGTCCGAGTAACTGAACTAAATGTTTAAAATCAGAAAATACAGCTGCTTGATCAAAGAAGGCTACTGAAATCGGATTCCTGGCTCAATCTTAGTCAGATAGCACACTATGTACTGATAAAAAATGACATAACATATCTTGCTGCGTAATACTCCAAAGCTAAAATCACTAAAGAGAAAATCGAGTTTGTATGTGCTTCTCGCAAGCCTGTGGCAGGATTTCTAAGCTGAGAAGCACATCAACATTGGCACAAACCGGAAATTGTGTTGTTGTGCGGCCAGGTAGATAAGTAGGAATCCCAGTACTTTATATTCTGTAAATACCAAGTAGCGTAACATAAGCACTCGAAAAAAAAAATTAAGCAACCTTTGCCTATACATTTAACCAAATGCACCGTTTTATGAACAACTTTGAAACCCTGCTCTCCACACATTTCTTAGTAAAATGCCGCAAAGTGACCAAATGACCCCAAATAAGCTTGCATAAGAAACATAATCACTCATCAGCTTTTTACATGTCTAACGTCATCTTGGCACGCGTTGATTATTTTCAGGATATATGTTATGGAAACCTTCAAACACGACGAAAATTTGTTAGCGAACGTGACATTCCCATACAAAACTCTTATGCTGGTCAGGTTCAATGTCTGAGGCACAGCAGGGACCAGAAACTTGTGAAGTCATTAGTGCAACCCGTGCTATATCTTATAGTGCGTTCGATAGATCGTATTCCGGAATAAGAATAAGCGAAAGTTTTGTTGCAAATATGTAGTACCCAGATTTTTGAGGAACTTAAACACTACATAGATCGAGAAATTTATTTCAAGCAGATGTCTAGCTATTGCAAAACAATAAGCGCCTTGCCTGCGTGACAGGCGCAAAACTCTGCCCCATACCCCCTCCGTTTTTCCTTTCCTCCCTATTCCCTACCTCTACCCCTTTCGACGCCTGCTACGCAGGCTATAAGCACCTAGATAAGTGATTTTTAAAGGTTTTTCGCTTTATTCTTATTCTGGAAAAAGGTCAATCGAACACGCTCTTACTGGTGTTATTTATTCATCATTAATAACTGCCTGTTAAACCTGTTACTGGACAAGAAACAGGAACACAACACAAATGAACAGGCTACAGTAATTCATCACGTGTAATCTGATCAATTAATTGATTGCCAAGTCTTACCTTGACATGAAGCCAATGTTTTGAGCGTAAACAAGGTAAGATTTAGAGCGTAGTGGGTGAGTGAACTTTATTCCTTCTGGGAAGTAACAGTAAGCTAAACTAAATTACAAGAAACTTATAACCGCATCGGGTCATTGGCAATACGTTGGAGCCTTCCCTGAGCATGTTCAGTGTGTCTCTTCAAATTTACTCAAGTTTCAGTTATTATTATTATTTGTTATTTATTACTATTATTTATTATCACTATAATGGTTATTTACTATCATTATTATTTTCATTGCTTGATTTTTTGAAGCAAAACTATAGAAAGAAAAAAAGAAGTTGAAAACGCCTCACACCAAAGGGTGCTTTATGGGGCAAAAAATGGTTTGACCTTTCTTTATGTTTAAATGACGGCTTTGTCAGAGTGTGCTAACGCACTCCGTGAGTCTCAAGCATATCAGATAATTTGATTTTTCTTGGCAAATGGTCAATCTTGGGGTAACATCTGATCGCTTCGATTTGTAATAAACAAAGGAAAGTGAAAGCCTGAAGCACGCTGGTGAAGGAAAGAAATCATTTTTTATTTTCATTATTTGCCTGGAAAGGTTTCCTATCATTACTCAAACCAAGAGTAAAACCAACGGACAAGTATGTACTTCCGAATACAGGTGAGACGAATACGTATTTTAGGCGTCCTTTTGATGAACAGTTGCTATTACTGCACTTAGATGTTTGCAGAAATAAAGAGTTACCTATAGTATGCCCACTTAGAATTCAAGACACTGTAACAGAATATAAACATTTTTAAATCGCAGAACAGAGTCTGTAAATGCCGGACCCTGATTCCTGACCACAGTGTTGCTTCCGTTGCCATACTGTCTAGGTGATTATCTTCACTGGAAAGCAATGATTTGCAGTTATACAATTGATTATTAATTGCATAGACTGATGTCAGATAAAAGAACTGCATGAAACAGCCGTATGCGAAAAAAATTTTAAAATACAGAATTAAAGTCTATATGATTATTCAACCGTAGACATTGTTAGACTCTAATATGGATTGTGTTCGATTTGATTGTGTCTTCTGAAAGAGCAATACTTTGCCATGTGATATTAAATTAAGCACAACTTACAGTGAAAGCAACACTTTCTTTGAAACGGATAAAAATGAGGTATCGAATTCTTTGTTACTTTTGCCATAACAAGGGAAAGACATAGAGGAAAAATCGAAGGGACAGTTAGACTAGCAGCGCAAAGGTGTATTTGTTATTAAGTCGTTAGGTTAGCAAAGATGGTGTCTTTTAAATCCTTTTCTTTTCTCTGACATTTCTTGTTGTTGAATGCAAAGAAACTATAAGAATATGCGCAAGTTAATTTTTCTTTCCTACTTTGCAGGTTCTACTGTTCATATGTTTGATTTCGCTGACATTTCTCAGTAAACGATCCGAGAGTACAAGTAAGTTTCAGTTGTTGACTCTAAAATTCCCTTTAGTAGCCAAATCAGTGAAACAAATCATTCGGCAAGGTTGTCCGATTTCCCTGCTTAATTATTATATCGCATCCGCTCACTATTCCGCGCCGCATGTGCAGATTTAGTTTTATTCAAGATTTCGTTAAATCCCTGGACCACAAAGCGCTCCTATCTAAAATTGAGAATAAGACCTTAAGCTAGACTACGAGCAGTCTCTCTTTTTTCTTGGTCCGTCGAGCAAAACGCCCGAGACACGTAAATGACCACGCGCGTGACTGAAGGCGCGAGACGGGAGAGGCACGACCAAAGAAAGACTACCTGCAAAGCCAGAGAGAATGGACTTTTACGGTCTAGTGATTTTTTGGCGTAAAAACTGAAATGCTGACAGGCCAGGCACGTGAAACGTGACCTTAGAGTTTGCTTGAACAACAGAGGTTTTCCTGCTTTTCCTTTTAAAGCGCTGCTTATGCAGTACATAGAGTTAGAGTCGATTCTAAACAAATTGACTGAACAAATATTAATTTTGGCCGCTGGTCTCACATTTAGAGGTCATGAAGCTGGTCTATTTCTCTTATATTAATAATCCATTTCCTGTGCTCTGTGTTTTGAATGAGTTCACCCGAGGATTAGTTCTTGTTTGCAGGATGTTGATTTTTCACGGGATAGTGTTCTACATATCCTAATTGCAGCTTAACTAAAGCTAAGCCAACACTGCCAGTCACTCAAGATCATTCTTTGGGCGCCGATTTGTTTTTTGTTTTTTCTTTCTTTCTTGAGATTCATGTTCTATAGCGCGATGTCCTGTAGTGCATCTTTTGGTAATTACTTTTGTTTTAGCTTTATAAAACAAGCAGTCTAAGAGTCTTCCAGTCTATGCTACTTTCTGTTTTAAGTTCTAAAGTAAGACTACGAGTCTGGAACTAAAGCGTTCCTTGACAGTGAAGAGAGGGTTAGAACATTTAAATTGCGCGATCATGAGACGTACCCGGAGAGATGAGATCTTCTTATGCTTCTCTTTGCTCCGTATCCTAAAGTTTTTTTTTTTTGGGAAACGTGACAAACAGTGCAGAACATGAACAGAAGAGGTGAGAAACGAGTAGGCGCCGGGCGGCAGAAATCGCTTTCTTTTACCAAAACATGCAAAATAACAAAAGAAATGAATCAATAACATTGGCGAGCACATAATCGTCATATGTATTTGGAAAATCGACGGAAAAGGCTGCATATGTTTGGAAAATCAAGCTTTCTCGACCTTGAACCTTCGACATGGATTCATGCCGACTCCGACTCAGATTTCTCGCCTCTACTGGATCGAATTCAGAAGTATTCGTCGATGTTTGGCTTTTCCTGGACAAATCCATCGGGGAATTCTCAATGGCATTCTTAAAAAAAAAATGTGTTCTGATGTGGCTTAGGGTCTATAATCACGATTTGGGCTTGTAACTTGTTAAACCCTACAAGGTTTGTTTTAGGTATTCCGAATACTCTTCTCACTTTCTGTTTCACGCGAGTGTCTCGTTACATGCAAATCAACTAAGAAATGGTATCTAATGCGCATGTGCATCAGCTGACTGTGTGCCTTTAATTCCCGGTTGCGGATGGGCGTGACTGAACGAATGCTTCCGGAGCCGCCCTCAAGAGCCCCGCCTACAACTTACAATCTCTTCTCTCTTTCAGTCCCAGACTTCTGACGGCGGGGCCTATCTCAGGTCACGTGCTCACGTAAATCGCCTCACTCCTAACACTTACCAATGCCCTTCCTCTTCTTTTCTTTATTCCTATGCTTAAATGTAAATTTGCTTGCTTTGATTTGTAAATAAATAGCTGTGAAAGACAAAAAAAAATTAAATAATAACGTTTTTCAGAGCGAGGATGCGGAAAACTACTACAAGAAATTCGAAAAAATCCACCAAACAGCAACACCATGATCACCATAGACATCAGGCGTTCAGAGGCAAGATATCGGTGTCGTGATGGATTTAAGTTGGTTGGTCAGAAAATACGGAGGTGCAAAAATGGGAAATGGACGAAAAAGCAAGAACCCAAGTGTTCAGGTATAAGTTTCTTTTTTAGACTTGATTTTCACATTGTTTTCATATAATAGTGTATTAATAATTTGTTAATTTTTCGCTTTATAAAATACAGTCATATAATTACATCGGAGGCACTGAATGATGTAAATTATGGGGCGATTGAACATAATATATATATACATGGATTTTCATCAAGCAGACAAAGGTTTGACGCTTCAGCAGCGACGAGTAATTATTTCTAGTGGAGCAAGAAACGTGCACACGCGTAATCTTTAGCATAAGTTTAGAAGTAACTTCACGGTTCTAGCCTGGGACCACGGTCTGCATTGTGGGAAAAGGAAAAAAAATCGGCGCACGTTAACTTCTTATCACGGATGTCAGCGTGAGCTTACTATGTCGCTTTTGTAAAAAAAATATATATTAAGAGATATATAATAAGAGTGCAAGCAAAGAGATCTAACTTCGATCGCCAACTAGAGTAACATCAGCTTCGCCGAAGAGAAATAAGGACGTTTCAGAGGAAAATGCGTCGCGTGTAACCGGTGAAAAACAGCCGAATAGATTCTCAAGGAGATCCCTCAAGTTCGCAGTTCGCGTCGTAATGCTCGTTTACATAGCTTCTAGACGGAATATTGTAGAGTCAGTGTAGAGTTTACATTTTCCGCGGAGAAAGAAGTGTAAGTTTAGCACCTTATGCGACAGACTATTCAGTTTGAGTATATTCCTGTTGAATTAGTTTTGTCTGCTCAAAATTGTTTTAAAGGCAGTCACATTCATTTTCTCTGATTTTTCTCAACTGCTGTTATCTTTGTAATGGCATGCGAGCAGAGGTTTCTTTCTTACATGCATGGCTTTTAGCGTTTACGTAGTCGTTCGCGTCGCTTGTAACTTGCGTATTTGGTTTGTTAACTACGCGGAAGACTTTGTAAACGGCAAAAACCATGCAGGAGAGAAACATTACTGCTCACAGGGTATCTCTGTACAATTGTGGTTTAGGCGTTCTCGGAGAACAAGGCTTAGCTGTACGCAATATTCATTCTTTGCTTGCATCCACTGATCTTTGGGTTTTATCACGCTTTTGGTAGGAGCGTGATGACAAAGGGTTTAAAAATAATCATTTAACCTTGTCAGTAACTCATTATCCAGACAGAAATTCGCAGGGCGACTTCGCCGCTGAGAAAGGGTATCAACCCTTTTCCGCCAGGCCTTGCTCCCTTTTAAAACATCAAAATTCGTTGTATTCTGATGAATCACTTCAGAGATCTCCTGTTCATGACGTCAGGTTTCTCCTTGTTAAACGGCGAGATCCTTGCTTTAGCTCTCTGCAAGCACTTAACAAGGGTCGTGAAGATAGAGAGACCGTCTTCAGAGGCATGCAAGAGTTCATGTGGCTATGGATTATTCTTTCCATTATGGTGCACAGCCTCATCGATATCGTTGGAGTTGACAACATTGTTCCAGTCCTTCTCATTGAGTGCCATGTACAGACTCTCCTTGCAGTGAGCTCTGCAGTCACACTATGGTCAGTCTTTATTAACATACAGTATTAAAAGCCAGACACTTGGAAAAAAGTTCTGTTCTGTTGGTCAAACAATTGTCCAGACGCGCATTCCCACGAGTGGGGAAATCAACCAAGGCATTCCAACCAGTCAGTTCTCCAAGGCGACTAATATCCAAGCGGTTCATGTCACCTGCAAACACAATGACAGTACTCGGATGCTTTTCCAAGATGTTCTCGGTAAAATAATCACATAATCCATTAGGTCGGCGTCTAAATAAATATGCTTGGGTGGATTATATAATCCACATACCAACATGCGTTTCCTTCCAGGTAGTTCTAGTGTAGCGCAAATGAGCTCATACAACTTCGATCGGTAAATGTTCACGACTTTAAGATTTCTTCCAACATAGGTCGCTACCCCTACTTTAGCCTGTGTCCAGACGCTCGCCCTCCAGGAAAAATCGGGAGAGGAGACTCCTATCCCCGAATTTTTTCTAAGGAGGGGGGAGGGGGACATCTGCACGCAGGCTACCCCTCCTTTCGCCCTCAAATCCAGTCCAAACCAATTTCTATCTCTCCTGTAAATTGAGTAGTTGGGAATATTAACCACGGCATCTGGCATGTCCGGTGTTTTAAATGTGTTTCGCTAACTATACGCAAACATCCACATCCTTATGAATCAAATCACTCTCTAAAGCCACAGATGCACGAACTCGATTCTTTATCTTACTAAGACTGCAAATATTGATGAGTATAAATTTTGGGACTGCGAAAACCGACCTGGTTAGGGTCACTTTCTGGGGTAGTCGTCTTGCAGCGGGTCGTTCTTTGTTGGGAAAGGCGACGGCTATGGGCGACTTCGATCTTTAGGGTATGATTATTGATCGGTTGCTGATGTTTATAATTGCTCGACCCATTTCCTCTGCATTTAAACATCCTCAGACTTTTAAAAGCGCCCAAAATGACAGTATCTGGTCTGCAGGCAAATTTACGCAAAGAAAGCATTACATTTCTGTCATAGTTGTCCTTAGTGAGTGGTCTCGGAGTAGATCTTGTCGAAAACTCAAGGCATCATTATTACCCTAACAATTCCCCGGCAAGCCGAAGGCGAATCGAACGAAGGGCCGGGATTATGAGCCACTTCCATATACTCGGCCATACCAATCATCACCATGCAAAGGTGTGAAATATTCCGATGGTTGAAAACTAAACAATGCGCAGTATTCTTTCTACAAGAAGTCCATTGTTTGAAGGACAAAGGAATGTGTTGGACTTTCGAATGGGGTATTCAGCTAAATTTAGTAGCCTCTCCAGTTCTAGCGCCGGAGTAAGCATACTCTTAAACAACAATGTTTACTCCACATTCCGCTTTAAACTATCTCCGATCCAGAAGGTAGATTCATGATTGTAGACATAAAAAGCGAGAGTAAGACCTTGATATTAGTAAATACCTACGCGCCAAATAACGATGACCCCAGTTTTTCTCAAAACGCCTTTACACGCCTTCTTACTTTTGAATGCGAAGAAATAATTTTGGGTGGTGATTTTAATCTGGTTTTAGATGTACAAAAGACCAAAAAAAAGGAGGGAACCCCGTAACGTGAAAAATCTTTGCAAAAAGTTAAGTATATTGTTGAAGGGCAGACATCTTGCCTGGTTTTAAAACGGACCATTCTCTCTTAACACTACACTTGACAAACAACCCAAACCCTAGGGGACCAGGTTTCTCGAAGCTAAATACTCTTTTTTTGTCCCATGGAGAGTATGTAGTTTTAATTAAGAGGACAATCAATGAAATAGCAAATGAATACAATTGAAATACAAGAACAATAATGAGGTGGACACCACTTTCCTGTAGGGTACTGTGATGAAAAGATCAAAACATGGCCTCTTCGTTTTCCCGCCAAAGAAAACCCTATTATGGAGAAGGCATTGCTCAATTGGCCAATCGTATTTCAGTATGACGTCAAAGCGAAATATCGGTTGATTTCTAGAAAGTTCCCGGGAATGACGTTTTTTCCCCCGAGCGTTTGCTAAACCAACCAAAGGCCACGCGCGTTTATATCTGTTCCATAAACCAATCAAATCGCTTTATTTCCGTTCGTTTTTTGTTTCTGTTTTGTCCGCACGTATTCATTTCAAGGTCATTCGAAAATTCCCTCTGTTGTAAACATTAATTGTAACATATTATTTTATCACGTTAGCCAAAGGCAGTCGTAATAAAAACAGTCATTTCTTTAGGTTCCGCCGGTTCCGCCGTCTGCAGTTCCACAGATAAGTCTTACCCATCAAGTTCACTGTACTACGCGAAAGAAAGCAACCCTAAAATGAAATCCCAGGACAATTACTTAGAAAACGACATTGAATCCCTTGAAAAAAGACTGGATGAGGAAAATTTATCGGAAACAGAAAAGAGTCAAGTACTGGACGAACTGGCCGCTAGAAAACTACTGAAGAGAAGAAATCTGCAAACACAAAACAAAAGGCGCGATCTCAGGATACGATCGAAATCCCGTTGGTACAACGATGGGGAAAATACGAAATATTTCCTAAAACTTGAAAAACGACACTTTAAGAAAAAAAAATATTTAAAGTTTCCAACTGTCATAAAAGTGTCGTTGAAAAAGATGACGAAATCATAAGGGTGGCAAAAACTCTATACTTCAACTGTCGCACCAATGAATGATCTTTATGATGATCTACTATTTCCGGAGGGAAACTTCACTATTCGTGGACCGGTGACGAAGCTCAGAAGTGCTCGTGGCTCTATCTTTGTCGGAGAAAAATCTCAGTGAGATGGCCCAGAAACGAGTTCGGTGGTAGCGGAGCAAGTTTGTGAATGAATATTTAATCTTCCATATACGTCGCAGTTTGGAGGCGTTTGGAAAAGGCAGATTGGTACTATTCGGCGCGTATTGGATCGGACGCGCACTGATAACCCATGAACTGCTAGTTACTCTCATTGTAGAGGTAAGGTAAGGTAAGTTAAGGTAACTTTATTTAAACACGGTATTTCCTATGATTATCAACAGTTGCCCCGTTTCATTACCCTCTGAAATCGACCAACCGGAACCATTAACCCTAGGTATGCTACTTATGATGATCATTCGCCGTCTAGCACCCAACCCTGGCCACTTCGCGCCGCAGGACTTCTACGTCCGTAACTGGTGGCAGTTCTGGGTCAGATGTAAAAGAGAGTATCTGCAGACCTTTCTGAACAGATCAAAGTGGAAGAAACATGAACGCAACCTCTCTTTCGGAGACATAGTACTCGTTAAGGAGGACGACGCAGATAGGAAGGACAGGTCGCTGGCGGGGAAGATAACAGAAGTAACGCGAAACTCAGATGGCAAAGCAAGGAGGGCCGAAGTGATCTCATGAAAAGCGGGGAGCATGAGGACCTATGACCCACCAATTTCCAGTTGATTGAATACAATATTGATGAGAACAAGGATTTCAATTAAAAATTCTTCCTTTCGGCAGTTGATTTACTGTAGTTCCTTTTTGCAATTAACCGTGTCGTAGTGCAATTTTTACCTCATTCTGTACTGTTCCCGAAAACCTTCTTGCGCAAACTTGTATCACCTTGCAATTTATAGAGTACAATAGAATCTGTTGACTTGGTTAGGCCCTGGTACTCATTTCTGTTGTTTTATTCCTAAAAGGTAATCCTGGCTGGTTAACTAAATGCTCAGTATAGAGTAGCTGCTCAAAAGGTGTACGTTATTTCACCTTTCAAATTCTATACAAAAACTGTGTAAAGCGGTCTACAGATTGAAACATTTCTTCTTCTTCTATATATATTATTTTGTGTTCTCTAATGCATCGTTAGTGTTATACAAGACGTCTATTTTGCCATACTTAACTTACTGTCATTTAGTATGGAAATTCTGCAAATCATCTAATAGCAGAAAGATCGAGCGCATTCAAGAGCGTGCGCTGCGCGCAGTATATGTATCTCAAAGTGAAACGTACGAGGGACTTCTCACTCGCGCCAAGCTGCCTACGCTTTATAACAGGCGCTTGCAAGACATTCGGCAATACTATTGTATAAAGTAAAATACGAGATGGCGCCAAAGTGAGTATCTGAGTTATTCACGATCAAAAGTACACACCGACGCCTAAGAAACTTTGATTTTGAACTACCCCGCTTTGATACAATGGCCTTTGGGAGGTATTGGCTGCGCAACCAAGGACCTTTCTTTTAGTCAAAGGTCAGTAGTGAGCTCAGAAACTTGACAAACTTCAAAGCATTCAAAAAACGTATACGCGGAGTGGACCTTTCGAGCAATATAGATCATTATAGTAATGCTGTGACCTGCGTAAATTTTGAGTTGTGTACATTCGTAATAGTTTTACGTTTTAGGTAAGATCATTGATTTCAAAGTTATGTAATAGATTAGTGTGCCAGTACGTAGGAAAGTATCCTCAATTACCTAACTGTTAAGCTAAATACATTGACACTAAAAAACAAAGTTATTATTATTTGGGAGGAAAAGAGATACTAAATTACTATAAAGGGAGGAAAAGAGATACAATTTAAGATCGTGTGCAATGGGAATCATGCTTCAAACGCCAAGAACTTTAACTAAAAAGACATTGGATGACCGTGCTTTTTTAGCTGCGGCACCTAAACTGTGGAATGGGTTACCATCACAAATACGAAATGAGCCCAATTTTAATAGGTTTGCTTAAGACCCATTTTTTTTAGATTAGCTTTTTATTAGGATTTTTTTAGCATTATGTATATATTATATTTTTATAGATCCATTGTTTTTTTTATATGATATTTTTAGTTATTTTGGATAACTTATTAATGTCGATAATTTACTTTCATGTAATGCCCATTTGATCATATTTACATGTATTTTGCGCAATATAAATATTAAATTATTATTATTATTATTTGTATATGTTTTATAAAGGCTTCGTACTATCAGTTAATACTGTATTAAAGTGATGAAAGTGTTAGAGTATAGTCTTTTAAGTAGTTTCAACTAAACTGAAACTCTGCTTTTAGAGATCACAGTTTCAGCAGCGGTCGACTACACTGAAGCTAATTCCTTCAAAGAAATCTTAAAATAACTATTCTTACTCATTGAAATACTCATGATTACAAGTCCGCGCCATTACAACTTCTGTCGCATCGTTTTAAACGTCTAATCGCGAGGAGAAAAAATTATTTCGTCTAGTAATGTTCTACGTTAAAAAAGATTTTGTTAAAACTGTTCTATTCAAAATGATAGTAGCCATGTTAAGTCTAGAAAAAAAAGGGACATTATAGGACATGATCCAGAATAATAGTTTAAACATAAATTATAGATTATAGAAATAACTAACACTCAATAAGGATGTTGAAATGGACTCGAATTCCGTGAAGCATATATTTCTCATAATAATCTGAGAGTAGTTGCCATGGCTTATTCAATTACCATTTGCACTTAAGCACCAGTAGCAATAATGGAGCCAGTGAGGAGGAGAAAAGGGTTTAATATGCAGTTGCTTTATGCTTCTTTTAGGGCCTTGTGGAAGACCAGCAAACATCCCTCACGCGGAATTCCATGGCCGTAACTTTGACTACAAAGGCAAGCTAAGATACAGTTGTAAAAAGGGGTACAAGTTGAGAGGCCCGAATAGAAGAACGTGCCGCGAGGATGGAAAATGGAGCAAGCCCCCCTCGTGTTCACGTAAGTTAATATCTTACCTTTTGACCCTCGATCGTGAAGGGTGGAGGGGGAATAAACCACCCTTTGTCAAGCCTAGAAAGAGACAATACGGAGCTTCTGGAAGAAATCGGTCCATGAACCAAGTTAATACTAAACTAATTTCGAAGGCTCAAGTTCAAAGAGTTCATCAAACTTTGATTAGCGTTCCCATTACTAACCGTAAACGTACAGACCATAGAAAGAGTCAGGACTTTCAAACTGTAAGGTACCTGGCTCAACAAAAACCTCAAATAGTCTGACCACGTAAAGGGACTTGTGTCATTAGGGACCAGTAATTATTTATCGCCGGGGGGGATTGATTTTTTTTTTTGGGGGATATATCTTGCAAAATTGCTGACGTTTAAGCGATCTTTTTCCTTGAAGGGTTAAAAACTTAAAAGTCCTCGCGATTTTGGATTTTTATTAAGTCTGGAGAAAACCAAGAAGATCTCTTGAGATAAATTTTTATCTGTAAAAATCTTGACAAGAGAACTGACAAAAATAACGAGGATAACGTTACGATGAGTTTCGCACTTGTTGTCTCAGGAAATCCCTTTGGGTTTGTGATATATTTTTGTTAAATTTTTGCAGCATTATCACGTTGCCGAAATCCCGGAAATATTACAATTCCAAATGGAAATGTGATGACAACGGATCCTCAATATCGCTATGGAGCTGAATTGGTGTTTGAGTGCAACGAAGGCTTTTATCTAAAGGGCAAGGACACAATCACCTGCAAGGAATTTGGATGGGAGTCTCAAACGTTACCCTACTGCAAAGGTAATTAGTAAGAATTCAGAAAAAGACAGTCAAAGCACTTGCGAATATTTTTGCTTTTGTTAGAGCCAGCATTTTAAAGTCCTTTCAAGCTAGCTGTCACTGAAAGCTCTCGTAAGCGACCAATTAGTAAACACGTGACAAGCGTTAAGTTTTTGATCAAATTCAGGGTGATAAATAACGTAAACAGTAACGGTGCTTAAGTGCAACTGTGGTCAGGCCTCGTGTTATAAGTCTCAATTTTGTTTTTCATAATCATCACAGAGAAACAATGCTCCGATCCAGGGCGACCTACAAATGGTGACCGATTGGGGCGTTTTAGGGTTGGAAGCACGGTTCGATTTTCCTGTCAGTACGGATTTGTATTGCATGGTTCCAGAGAGAGAACTTGTATGGAAAGTCTGGAATGGAGCGGATCGTTAACAACCTGCCAAGATGGAAGTAAGACTGAAACACATGTAAACTTTTTCCTTACTAGTTCCTCAACCAAACGTAGTGAGTTAGCCACCTCTGTATGAGTCATAGAATGCTAGGAGTTGAAACGTTTACATTTGCTTTATTAGTACCTTGTGGTTTTGAACGTTTGGTACGTGAGGAACGACAACTATGTTTCGCCTCAACAACGACAAAACGACAAATTTAAACTAAAGTAGAAACTCTCATTTTTAAATGAGAGTTTCTACTTTAGTTTAAATTTATTTATTTTATTATTCTTTCCTGTACTTCTACGAATGCAGGCCCTATTCTTATACTTAAAAGTATAAGAATAGGGCCTGCATTCGTAGAAGTACATGAAAGAATAGGCAAAAGCGCTAGCTTGTCGTATTTCATCTACCTCAAAATAGCAGTTGTTCAAATGGGAGACGGCGTAAAGGACGCTTGCTTTCCCGTGCCAAATGAACTAAAACTTCGTTGCTTGAAAGTCAGTTTCTTTAAGTAGTGTACAGTACCGCAAATCATCCCCCAAAGTGGACCGCAAATGATCCTCGACGTCGGCCGCAAATGATTCCATTGTCGACCGCAAGTGATCCGGTGAAAAGTGGAGGAATGGAATGGATTTTAGGCATGGATGGTGAACGTGCTGAGAATTTGAACAGCGTAGAACAATGAAATGAATAAAACTATAAATAACCGAACTGTTTCCTTTGTCAATTGTTTTCTTCTTTCTTTCAAGCATTTGATTTTTCTTTGCTATGAAAATTTAGGACCAGAAGGACGTTAAGAAGAAAACTTGTCTTTCATTTTAACGCCTAGGAATAGGGAAATATTGCATGACCACTGTTTTTATGACTCTGTGAAGGTTTCCAGTTTATTTCGAAATACACTCAGCAACTGCAGCTCGTAAAAATGTCGCGTCTGTCGTTAAGGACCCTGTCGGCGCAAACCTGTGTATTTATTTCAGGAAAAGAGAAACGAAGGAACGATTAAGTGGAAATTTTTTAACCTTTAAGCAAATAATTCTCCTAATGGGGTTGTACTAGAGCAAACTTTTATTTGGGGTCGTTTTCAGAGACTTTCGCCGTACCAAAAGTTATCATTTCTGAAGTTGTTACAAGGTATCCGATAGATAGGATTTTAGGAATTACTTGTTAAGAAGATTGTATCTAATTGAACTACAGTGTGTGAATTTTAGTTCAGTTTAGCTTAAATGTTAACAAGCAATTAAGCAAGACACCGCATTGCTGTTCAAGAGCTATTGTTTTACAGATGGTATTAATTTTTTTCTTGTTTACATTAATTTTTAATCAACTAAGGTTTAAATGTAGTTTTACGTTTCTTTTTTCCCGTCTTGGCATTTATTTGTTAAATGTGTTCAGTTTAATAAATACTTTTTGTTGCGATAATAAACGTGACACAACGATCCAGTAACTTGACACCAGGCCATTGTAATTTTCCTCTCATTTGCGGTCAACAATGGGGATCACTTGCGGTCGAGGATCATCTGCGGTCCATTTTGGGGATCATTTGTGGTCTGGGGATCATTTACACACGGGAATCATTTGCGGTACTGTACTGTAGCAAGAGAGATTCGTACTTACAAACTTCTTTAGGCAGCTAACATAGTAAAAAGGAATTTTTCAGTTCTTTTAATCAAATCTTTGTCGCGAAAGGTTTCTAAATGTTTAATAGTATTGGACTTTTTCATTTCGCGCTTGACAATGACCACTTGTTTTGAAGGAACTATATAGTTTAATGTATTTTGTAAAGGCAAGTTCGTACCTGTTTTTTCCTTTCCTTTGTTTGGGTGAGTTTTACTTTTTCATAGAAAAACGCACCGAGAGTCTGTTCATACGTCGATCAAAATCTGTTTTCTAGGTTTTTTTTACTTTATTTTCTTTTTCCATATTTTGCCTTTGTAGGCACCGACTGTCCCATTCTTGGTACACCCATAAACGGCCGGAAATACGGAAGTAAATACAACCATGGAAACATTGTGACGTTTGATTGCAACCATGGGTTTGTGTTGAAAGGCTCCGCGGTGAGAAGATGCATGGAAAATGGCACATGGAACGGTACAGAAGCAATATGCAGAGGTAAAAAGTGGTGATATAAGATGTCTAACCAATACCAGTTTAAGGTGTTTCAATACAGTTTTTCGGAGACCTGGCACCAGTTGTTCAAAAGGTGCATAGTGCTATCCACTGGATAAATCTCTATCCAACGGATATTGCAATTGGTTTCCCTAATACTTATCCGCTGGATAGTGATTTATCCAATGGATAGCGCTATCCAGCTTTTGAACAACTAGGGCCGGATCGATATTTTTAATTCGCCTTAAAAGTGATTTTATCCTTTTCCGATCGCTGATTAAATTTTCACCAGTGATTGACTATAGATTTGAGGTTTGTCAAAATGCAGTTTTAATTAAAATTTATGTAACTATGACAACAAAAAAACGCTGAAATCTAATAAAAGCCAAATTTTTGTGCGATCTAGGCCTGCTACTCGAAATCCTTAAATAACCTCCGTGAGAAATAAAAAAATCTGTTTTTTTGAATTCGAATATAACATAAATATATTTTAAACCTTGTATTTTCAATAGCCGTGATAAATTGTTTAATGAAAAAGTTCTGAATAACTCAAATTAATCTTAAGTAGGTCAGAATGCTGCTTAATATCATATTTCGCTGAGTGAATTTTGGTGCATTTTCTAGATCTCTTGTGATCCTGAAAACTAACCGATTGTCCTTCCACCTGTCTAGGTACAACTTTATTCTAAATTTTGAGTTTTAGCGCTTACCTGTATACCTCTAAAACGGCTCGACAGACCTTGCCACATAATCTTCACGTTGTATTATATCAAATTACTTAACTTCAAAAGGTACAATTATTGTCGATGTAAAAATTCGTTCTGAAGATGATATTTCAAAGCTCTCTTGAAGAGAGCGGCATTCTTGCAAAGTTTCAAATTTATATCGAGCTTATTCCAGATGGATACACTTCTATGGTAAAAAGTTCTCTGTCCTGTTAAAAAGCAGAATGTTCAGTTGTTAAAAGTTCCTTTTTGTTCACATCAAGGTCTTTGACTGTCAAAGCTGGAATGCTTTTTCTTTCCTTTTAAAGTCCGGTAATTTAGCTACCAAAGATCATTAGTTCATCTTATCGGGATTAAGCCTATTCAGACAGATTTTTTTTGTCTCCCTACCCTCAATATTGAGCTCATCGGTAGATCATGACATACTATTTGGCAGACTTGCACATCGTTTCGGAATCACCGGAAAAGGCCTTATCTTGGTTAACGTCTTACTTGACAGAACGTACCCAACTTGTCAAAGTGGCAAATAAGCACTCCATCAGTCGAAAACGTCTCTGCGGTGTCCCCCCAGGTTCGGTGCTAGGTCCTGTCTTATACTCTACGTACACCACACCCCTTGCAGAAATAGTAAGACAACATGGCTTAAACTTTCACTTCCACGCTGACGACACGCAGTTATACCTTTCGTTTAACCCAAAGGCGTGTTCAGTCATGCATCAGCGATATTACCAACTGGATGACATCAAACAAGTTGATGCTGAACAGTGACAAGACTGAAATCCTTGTGCTCAACGCTTGCCATCGTGCCTCGTCGTTCACTGTAGTCTATTACAGTTCGCCGTGACGTGATGCATGCTTCACATGCCGCAAAGAACATAGGGGTCTGGTTCGATGAATTTCTATCAATGGGCAAACAAGTGAAAGCAGTCTGCCAATCGGCCTTCTTCCATCTGCGCAATATCACTAAAATTAGGAAATATATATCGTTTACTCACTGCAAGATTTTAATACATGCATTTGTTGCGTCAAAACTGGACTACTGTTAACTCTCTCTTATCTGGGCTACGACAGGATCATATTAACAAACTTCAGCTTGTGCAAAATTCTGCCGCACGTCTTTTGACTGAAACATATTTCACCCATCTTAAGGTCTCTTCTTTGGTTGCCTATAACGGAAAGAACTGATTTTAAACTTTTACTTCTTACATTTAAATCACTTAATGATGTAGCACCGCCTTATATAGAAGAACTGTTTGTTCGTTATAGACCAACAAAAACTCTGCGTTCTGCAGATGAAGGACTCCTAGTACAAACTAAATATAACCTTAAAGCCTACGGTTTCAGAGCTTTTTCACAGGCATCTCCTAAGATATGGAATTCCATGCCAGTCAGTTTACGCATTTGTTGTGAGCTGAGCGCTTTCAAATCAAAACACTTCTTCTTAAGCGTACTTTTCAGCTGTAATTTTATTTTATTTTATTTATTTATTTAAGTCATTGTAATATTTTATTAGGTTTATTACTATTAGTCCTGACTGTAAAGCTCGTTGGATCACTAAGAGAAAGGCGCTATATAAATGTATATTATTATTATTATTATTATCATTATTATTACTATTATAATTTCCAACACCTACAATCATGGACGAAAGTCTTGACGCCCTTTTGCATTTCTGGGGCGTTTTCTAAATCACACAGCTCCAACCCCTCCACTTACCCAAAAACAATGTCGGACCCTTGTACCGCGAATTTTTTTGCGAAGCAATTCCATCGACTTAAACCATATCGGGCCCATTCCCCAAAACTGGAGCTGATTGCAGCGGAAGTTGGTCAGCACGATGTTTCGAACATCGCGCACAGTACTCGGTTTCAAAATCACAGTGCATTACCAATATTCGCTAAAAATTAACTAAAGAAACACGGCTGAGGTATATTCAACCAAAAATTGATTGTATTTGAAATAATATGCGTCAAAAAGGCCATCTCCTAAAGTGAATACAACATTACTCACTTGATTCAGTAAAGAAAAATCATCCTGTTACGTTTTCTCTCCATTTCAAGTAAGTACAAGAGACTATAAAGGGGACAGAGAGGGCATCCCCCATATACACCCTATTCCATAGGTAATTCGTCTCGAGTTATTTTTAGAATCGGGATAAAGTTACCTCGCGCGAGGCGTGGATGTTTCGTGGAGGTTTCGCATGACCAAACGCCGTGCAAAACATGTCGGGCGAGAGGCAATGAAAGCGTAAAAAGATCGAGAGCATTCCTGGATATTGAAGCGAAATGAGTCGGCGCTCACCTAGGAAAAAGGAATCGCTGGACTCTTTGACAACCCGTGAAATCAGTTTAACTCAAAGTTGTCGTAACCTCAGTGCTTTAATAAAATGAGAAATTTCACCGGTCTATTGAAACCGGTCGTTTGTACAATTTAGGGAGTTTAAGATCCAACGACGCGCACGACAACTAGAACGTCAAAAAAACAATAGGTTTAATTAGCAAAACAACAATTTCGCACGTGCAACACACTTTTTTGTTCATTTCTTTCCCGTTTTTGCACGACTACGACTTGAAAATGCCTAATTTCGCGTTTTATGGAGGACGTAAATAAGCGAACGAAATTTTATTTCTCTTTCTGAGCTTGAATATGGTCCCTTGAAATTCAGCTTTAGGAGGGATCGCCTACAGTTGACAAAGTAAGTGGGTAGGAATAATCGCTACAAAGGCTGAAAAAAATAAACATCAAACCAGAAATTGCTCTCTTCAAACTGTAAATTATAAATGATCCTGAGAGAATATTCAGTGTGTTAAGGATTTCCCTGCTCTACTGTTAGCTCTATACAAGAGAGGAAGGGCGATTCTTTTTTAATTTCGGTTTCGCTGACACAGCTTTCGCAGAAATCTCGCTGTAGTCGTTTTCGTCGACAAAAGGAATAGCAAAATCGCTCTCCGCGTCTTCCCCCATTTTGTTCTGTGTCATTTCGTGAAGGACGCGTGGCTCTGGTCGTGGGTCATCCACGCGGAACACATTCGCGCTATGTGATTGGCTGTAGTCTAATCCCCCTTGAGATCTGGGGTGTTAAAAATAACTCGAGACGAATTACCTATGGAATAGGGTGTATATGGGGGATGCCCTATCTGTCCCCTTTATAGTCTCAAGGTAAGTACTAACTGTAACTAGAAAATTGAAAATTGCGTTTTCGCTGTAAATAAAAGGGTCAAAGGATGTATCTACACCTAAATTTTCTCTCACCATCCCTGAGACGTTAAGATTCTATACAAAAGGCACACAATATTAAGGTTTTAGAGTGAGTACTGTCGTGCCAAAACAGGACCAACTCATTATTATCTACGCCTCTAATGCAAGAGTGGGAACTGGGGGGAGTCAGGGAGTAATGTAGCAGTAATGTAGCAGTAATGGACTGTTACTTTTGGAGACCTGTGTATCTCACATGCAGTTTATCGGCTACCCACCTACACCCAGACGGACTGGATGCACCCACGCAGCAAGCATTGGCATCTGATCAATTATCACTGTGTAAGATATTTGTAACAATTAAAATTTTTCGTTTTCTTATTCCGGAATACGATTAATAGAACGCACTCTAAGTTGTCATCGCATTCTCTGTACTCTCCACGTATAATCTGGCGGCGATTTTTACGTGTGCTCGCCTATTTCGCTCGCTCTACTATCCCAGAGGAAACTAAGGGACAACTCATAGTCTAACATCGTTGCCGCTGTGATAATTTTGTCTGGAAATGGAGTAGCCATTTGGGAAGTTTTGGTTGTGACAAACCTAACCTAAACCTGCATTAAACAGTAACCCTCTGACCGCAGACAGGTTTGATAAACCTAAGAGTGAATCAAGATAATAAAGATGGTGACAAAAGGAAATAGAGAGTTTACGCAACTACTACGACAACGGCAGCGAAACTTCATCGCGAATTTCCCTAAAAATAAATTATTTCAGACCGTAATCAAGATGGATAAAGACAAGAAAACGGATGGCTCTCTGTCTAGTGGGGATTTCGTATCAAATGATTTCTTGATAAGACAGGGGTGTGGTAGATCACGTGATGTAGTTATAAACAATTTTTCAAATGAAATTGGCCTTAAATGATTGGCCTTAAATTATTAATGATGGGACACCTTGAAAATATTTACATTACATCAACCCCCTTTTAATTTCTGAGAAATCTATGAACACCCAGAAATTAATCTACTTGAGTTATTTTGCCTGTAAAAAGGCATCTCTCGTGCTGTTATTGTCAGAACGTGCTGATATTCTGTCACGTTAACAAACACTTTTATTAATTCGATGCTCATTACTACTGCCCCTAGTTTCATTTCAAAGGGTGTTTTTAAAAACGTCCATGTACACGTTACAAGGTGTGGTGAATAATTCAACAACATTCAACATGCGTAAAGCGTGAAACAGAAAATACAAACAAATCAAAACAATCGACACAAGAAAAATAATATGGACAAAGCAAAGGAAAACATTTAATACAGGCTCTCACGCCTCCTCTGAGAATGAACCAAGAAAAATGTCTTAGAACATAATTGCTCTTTAATCTATCTTGGGAATTGTAAAAGTGAGTGTTTCTGTCTTGGGACCCAAAATAATATTCTGATAGGACGAAAAGACAATCAAGGAATTAACAAAGTGCAAACAACTGACAACCTGGAATTCGTGACACACCTCCAACAGCAGTCAACAACACTAATAGCCTGTTGTCAAAAGGCTATAAATTTTTCAAAATATAAGCTTGCTAGCTAAGGATCCAAAAGCAAGCCTAAATTACAAGACTATAAACCATGACAGACATCATACCGTGCCGATGTGAATCTGACTTGTGAACATGCGAACAGCGATCGCAGTTCTCCAAATTCACTATTAGTTTGTAATCTTATCTCTTTTATGGAGGCTGCTTTTGTGCTAAACTCCTTAATAACAATATGGACCTGTGTATTGAAAAAATGATAGCCAAGCGACTGAGAAATAAATTTCACTTCTTTTCTGTTATATTATGCTAACGGACATTTCATGACTTTAACATGATGCTAACTTTAGAGAGTTTTAGACCTGGTGCTTTTCAAAAGAAGCCATGTTTGTTTCTTTAAGTTCAACGCTGTAAATCGAGCCAGTCTTTTAAACGAATTAACTACAGAAATACAAAAGTTTCAACGATTTCTCGCACTGTGCAATTAGTTCCCAGTTCCCCGCTCGGTTGTACGACCTGTATGCGGATACACAAACGCTTACGCTGAAAAGCTGTCCGTAAATCGTGCCTCATGTGTTTTTGCGTGAACAATTTACATCAGATTATTTATCTACCTAAGAGCTCTCTATGGACAAAAAAAGGAAATAGATTTTTCTACTTTTGCCACTAGATGGTCGATATTTCCTGGCTGTCGCTCATAATGGTCGTAAATACACCAGAAACAGAAATTCACGAACCTTATGAGAATAAAACTGAAAAAAAAAAACAACAACAACATTGCATGCGAGGAAACGAAGGCCTGGTACAAATGTCCCTAAAGTAGTCAAATATAAATCTCCTAGTCGTTCAAAGCGTAACAACTAGACAAGCTAATGGTTAATATATCGCGTGGTAGTGTAAACAGTTTACAACCGAACACTGTCAGGCTTTACTCACTTCACTCACCGTCCATCACGGAGTTGATAGCATATAGCATAGCACAGGACAGTAGACAATCAGATTTGTGATAAAAGGCCGGTAGATTTATACGAATAACGTATACTAATATCGAATTACTTCTTTGAACTGCAGTCCATATTTTCTATATTGTCTTCAAGTATTACCGTGTACCTACGTCCCATATAGCGTAGAGGTGAATGTGTTAAGGACCTCTCCCGCCGCTGCAAAATGGAAATGCTCCCACCTGTTAACTAGACAAGAGAAACATAGTTCTTGTTAATGTCATCTGTACGACAAAAATGTTTTTCCAGGCGTTAAGATTGTGGGGGCGACCGAAAAAGATGAGAGGGATGGGGGTAGGGAGTCATGCGACCAAGAAGGCCAAGTCAACGGCTAGGCGAGTTTTCTTGTTGATAAAGTAAAAAAAGAAAACAACAACAGCAACAACAACAAAACAAAAAAAGTGTTATTTGTAGAATAACAAAGAATTTTAAAGCAATCGGTGTCACGCAATGCGAGTTCGGCATCAAGATGCAAATTTGAGTTGAAACCTTCAATTCTGAATCGCGTTGTGCCGCAAGTTTTATTGAATAACTTGACAAAATAGCTATTAATCTTTATTTAAAACATGTTTTTAGGTCTGGCTTAGGTACCACACTGGAAAATTTTATGACGTTTTTGAGGCATTTTCTCGTGCATTTTGCTTTCTTCATTCGGATTATAGTGAAATAAAGACGAACAGTTTTTGCTGATTACAGAAGGATAATGCCTATCTATTGGAACAGTAAGAAGGAGTAATATGCTTCCAAATGAGTGCAAATAGTCTAAGATTTGATGACTCGAAGTACTTTTTAAAGATCGTTAAAAAACCTGTATAACAGAGTCTAAAATTTGCACATTTTAGCCGCCGCTAACAATCGTCGAGCGATGAAATGCTGGGAATGGTAGCAAACAATTTCCTCATTCTAACTGGAACTTCGTTATAAGGAAGGACAGTTTTACTGATTATAAAAATATAAGGCAAAAGTTTTTTCGAGTCCCAAATCGAGTGGAACGCTTTTAGGGAGGTTGCCTCTTAAATGCTATTTTGGTTTCATTTCAGACAAGTTGCAAGTCCAATTTAAGGACGTTGACGAGACTGCCAAAATTCTCCGCAAAAATATCATTAACACGATATTGGGATATGACTGTAGCCGCGGAAACGAGAATGGATGTAACAAGACGAATGCTCAAGACGTGGACACTCGAGGAAGGGCTTTAATACTGAACTCTGTTAAAGAACTGGATCTAGTGTTTGTACTTGATGCATCCAGTAGCGTAACGAGGGAAGGATTCCAGATTGGTTTGGGATTCGTTAAAAAACTTGTGAGGAAAATTGGTGCGAGTAAAAGGTATGACGTATGTTTGAGCGTGATGGAAAAAGTAGTATTTTAAGTTTATCATGGGCTACATTATAGGTAAAGCACTCTTATTCTCCTGTTAACACTCCCCATCTTCCTAAAATTTACTACTGCGTGAGACGTCTTTGTGTTTATCAATATAATAAGAACAATCAGAAGACTCAAAGTCATTGAATAATGATAATAATAATAATAATAATAATAGTAATAATGATAATATTAATAATAACTATTCATTTTAAGTTGATAAATTCTTGCATGTAGCATTAGACAAAATAAAAATATGCAAGGGATTAAAATTGGCAAAGAAGAGGTCAAACTGGCCCTATTTGCCAATGATTTGTCTTGTTTTGTGAAAAATTATACATCTTCTTATGAGCAATTAACCAGTAGCTTAGAAAATTTCGCGCTATCTCTGGTCTTAAAGTTAACTCCGAAAAGACTGAATTCTTCTGTCTAGGTTGAAGAAACTGGAATTTTTCTCCCCATGAATTCAAGACGTCATTAAAAATCCTAGGTGTGCATTGTAGCAAAGCTCTCGTGCGCGAAGCGCGCGCAGCGTAGCACCATGGGTAAGAAAATGTGGTAACCTATCCACACAACCGCCCGAAAGACCGTCCGTCCGCACCACAGGCATACCGATGTAAAATAACTCAACCAACAGGTATGGCGATCCAAATGCAACTCGAGGTTAGTTTGGAGGGATCGCATAGCCACCCGCGTCTTGTAAAAGAGAGTCAGCTAAAGAGTCAATAAAGACAAAAACGGAAAGCGGAAATTGTTTCTGTATCCGTGTTGTCTAAAGTGTTAAGCTTAGATTAAATATCATGTCCACAAATTTGGAATATGGAGCAAGAGAAAGACAGAGAAAAAGAGAAAGTAGGCGGCTGGCCAGCGAAACTCAACGAGAAAAAGGGCGACAGAGATCCAGAGCGAGAGATAAAAAACATTCTTTGTTGGAAGAACAACATGAAAATTTTGTAGCGGCGGTGACAAAATGAGAAGTGCTAGCGGCCGCCAATGCAAGGTGAAAATGAACTCAGGCCGGTTCGAATTTGTAATTTTTGCTGTCGTTTACATGAGACCGGTACAAATTCAAAAACAGGAGATTCTTCGTGCTATATAACTTTCTTAAGTTTTCGTAACTGGTACACAATTTACGCCAATTAAGACAGTGAGTAGAGAACCGTAGATTTTGCTGCTTCCAGAAAATTGTAAACTTTGTCCAACGCTTATCTAGTGGCATGTTAGCACCTCAAAATGATTAAATCCCTCACATCAACCGAAGCATATATTCAATTAAAGCTACTTCCAAGTCTTGTTTACAGTTATTCATAGCAGTGTTCTTATTTTGCTAAGAAAAAGCAAAAATGATGGAGCCATGCGAAGAAACATGCTATGTATGGACCCGGTCTGAGATTCGTTTCCGTTTTACATGAGAACGGTCCGGTACAGTCTCAGACCGGTACGACAATAACTAGTGTCGGGTCAGCGACCGACACGAAGTCAGACCGGTGTAAGTTCATTTTTAGGTCGGTCCCATGTAAACGCATGAAAAGAAACGTATGGAGAGCGATACGAACTCATAACGGTCTGAGTTCGTCCCGGTCTCATGTAATTACCCCCTAAATCGTTTGTTTCACTACTGAGTAAATTACAATGATTGATGAAATTGACATGTAGTGGGCGTATTGGTTTTCTAAATTTAGCACGAGTGGCCGTATTAATGGGGTAAAATTATAAAGCAAGCTACTGTTTGGGATTTTAAAATGTGGCCGTTGGCTGTATTAACCGGAAGCGGCATTAACGGTCTTTTTTATAACAAAATGTAGGGCCATTTTTCCGGGACAAAAAAAAAATTTGCCGTAAGGCGAGGTTCCATTATATGTAGAAGTGACGGGGATTAACACTTTTGGAAAAATTCGAATAGTTAAATCTGTTGCCATTCCAAAATTTATGTCAAAAGCAACTTTTATTTATGTTTCCAAGGATCTTATTCAAGCTGTAAAAAAAGAATTGTATGATTTCATCTGGAATGGCAAAGACAAAGTTAAGCGCTGTGCGTTAATTGAAGACGACGGTCTAAAAATGCTCGATATAGAATGTATGATCAAAGCCCAAGGAATAATGTGTTTGCAGAAGTAAATCGAAGACTATGCTAGTCCTTGAAAAGTTTTTGTTGGATTATTATTTAGGGGACGTAGGTGGCAGATTTATTTGAAATGGCAGTTTGATACATGTTATTTGCCCGTATCCCTTCCGGCATTTTATAAGGATTGTTTTTTGACGCATGGTAATTTCTTACTAAGACAGATGTTGTAACATATGGGAATCAAGAGAGGATAAAGGGGATAGAGAAGGCATCCCCCATATACACCCTACTCCATAGGTAATTCGTCTCGAGTTATTTTTAGAATGGGGATAAAGTTACCTCGCGCACTGCGTGGATGTTTCGTGGAGGTTTCGTATGACTAAACGCCATGCAAAACATGTCGGGCGATAGGCAATGAAAGCGTAAAGAGATCGAGAGCATTTCTGAATATTGAAGCGAAATGAGTCGGCGCTCACCTGGGAAAAGGGAATCGCTCGACTCCTTGACAACACGTGAAATCAGTTTAACTCGAAGTTATCGTAACCTCAGTGCTTTAATAAAATGAGAAATTTCACCGGTCTATTGAAACCGGTCGTTTGTACAATAAAGCAAGTAGCAAGTAATATTCATGTACCAGTAATTAGTTTTACAAATTTGAATTTTATTGTAGTTTTTTTTTAAGTTGTTAAGCGCTGTTGATCAGTGAATGCAAATAGCGCT